ACATTAATGTTCTTCCTCTCTCTTCTCTCCCTTGCTCAGGGGAAAGATGAGCGGCCATCCTTTTCTCTTCTGCTGTTTCAGCTGAGTGAAATCTCTGAGTTTGATGTGTAATCATGGCACTGCATGCTCAGCACAGCCAAGAGAGTTCTGAGAAGAGAGAAGGCTGGATTTTCCCCAAGAAAGCATTAACAGGAATCCTCTCACCATAAACACTTGCCATATGCCTGGGGACAAGGAGAGGGCAGAGGCTGGTACTTCCAGACAGACAAGATATCCCCAGGCCTTCCAGAGCCTAGACAGACACAGGCTTTGGTTTGGCCAAGAGTGTGGTTTGCATCTTAAAACCAGAAGTGACTATTGAGCATGGATCTTGTACCACACAGTCCAGCAAGGGTGTTTCTGCTGAAGAGACAATCTCAAAATTTAGAGATCTTACATTGCTGTTCTATTTCTGTGAATTCCCAAATGAAGGTCTTCCCTGGAGGGAGATTAAAAAAAAAAAGCTTTCTTTAACTGAGGAGGAATGTTTAGACATTTCCCTGGCTCTCTAATTCAGAGTGGGCTGGACCTGAAAGCTCTGAACAGGAATAAGCCTGGGAGACACAGAAGCAGGCTGGATTCAGTGACTGCATTTCTGATGCTGGTATTTCAAGGTGGTTTTGTTTTCCCTTTGCATGATTTTCCCTGCAACTGTGGCATAACAGGAACAGGATTTGGATACCTGGTAAGCTGAAGTGGTGTCTGTGTGTGCACACGAGTTTGTGAGGGAGGAAGAGAAAAAGAAATGTATGTGCTGAAGAGTCTTGAAATTCTCTCAAACTGCATTGTACAGTGAGTGGGAAAATGGGACTCTGATGCAAATGAAGACATTCTTGGAGGGAGGAAGTCAAAGCTGAATGTTTATATTGATTTTTTTCTTCAGTCTTTCTACATCAGAAGATTAAAGTGTGACCTCCACCCAGATTCTTTGAACAAAGTATGGAGGAGTGAGCAGTGCAGTGTTATGTGTTCCCAGTCCAGAGTCCCAGGATCTGATTACCTGTGAAAGGTACAGGAATCTATCCCTGAACTGCTGTATTGGGCAGGAAGGAGCCAGAGGGCTCAGGAGGGAGCCAGGAGCAGAAAACATGCAGAGTATGTGCTCAGTGCACCAGTGATCATGAGAACTTTAAAAAGTAACAGAACCACCACAAGAAAAGACTTCTCCATCTCTTCTGTGAACAAAGGCACTGACCAAAAGAAAAGTCCAGGGTGAATGGTGTGCCTGGGTTCTTCCTCCTCAAGGAGTTCCACGTTATGTGGTGACAGCAGAAGGTATAAACAAAATCCATCTCCTGGCATTTCCATTAAAATCTGTGGCTTCACTGCAAGACAGAGACACTGTTTTGACATAACTGACATCAAACCCAAAGTGTGGGTGTTGGTGTCCTGCAGAATTTGTAAATAAGATCAGGACTTTTTGCTAAGCATTAACAATCACTAGGGAAGTTAAGAGGGCTCACAGATGATATGTGCAGACATGCAATATGTATTTTTGATGCTTCTCTGTTTGGGCAGGTGAGAACATGAGCAAACCTTACACGACAGCAGCTTAAAAAACCCTGAAATGCAAACTTCCAACAACAACCTCCTGTCTTTACACAAGTCAGGTTCAAATATGTTTGCCAACAAAAATGGAACTAGGAAATAATGTAATCCCATGATCTCACATATCCTGTGTCAAGTTATTTCTTCATAGAAGGAGGCTTAATTTTTGATATTTTTCAAGCTCCTTGTTCTAGGGTGGCTTTTAGGAGCCAGAATATCTTTTCAGGCATGTGGAAATGGGCAAGGCATCAGTTCCTGCCTTACACATCTCCTCACACTGTCTACAGGCTCAAAAGTTCAGCTCACTGCCCCCACCATCCTTGAAGGACCCAGGGGTCTGCTGAGCATGAGGACATTGCTGTTAAGGAGCAGCAATATTGCTCTGCTAGCTGGCATTTCTGAGGTTATATTTATATTTGGGTAAGTGTAATATTTATTAGCTAGAGTGGGTTGCACAAAATATTATTGTGATGGTTTATGTTCAGTTTTATTTTGCAGTCTTTCTATGCACACAATGTGGACTTTTACAAACAATAAAATTGCTGAGTTCCAACTGTGAGTTTCACTGTATGTGAGCAAAACTGCAAAAATCATGCACCTATAATCAAATCCCCTCCACCAAGATGCAAACAGGCATCTTCTGGCTTTCTGAAATATCTCTGTTCCCCAGAATTATGGTTGCGTTCTGGGGTTACACAATGTGCTGGGTTTCTGGAGGTAGGAAGCATTCAGAATCTCTGCAAATAAATATAAAAATTTATTACATAGACACCAGATTTTTAGGTCTAAATACCCATTATGGTGGCTTTAAATTCTCTGAATCTTCATAAAATTGGGGGTGGTAATATCTCAGTGCTCCCAGAGGGTGTTTCCCCATAATTTACAGGGCACTTCAGGAATCTCAGAAGGGCAGTGCCAGAGTGAGATAACTGCATGATATCAATGATATCAATGATATCAATGCACTGTAACACAGTCTTCCCTCACCTCAGCAGTGTCTAAGGCAAGTTTATCTGGGTGCCCTTCATGTGGCTTGACCAGCTCCGTTCCCCACAAAGCAGAGGTGAGAATATCAGTCTCCCACTGCAAAGTGAGTCACCTTTCTCTCAACACCCCTTCCCTGCCTCCCTAGAAAGCATTTCACACATGCTGAACGTTTAGGCTGCTGCCCCTGTGCCTGGCTGTGTCTCACCAGGGTGGGAGGTTGTGCCTGTCCCTCCTTTTCCCTGCTGCTTATCCCGGGTGGGTGCAGGGCTCTGCACACTTGGCTGGAGCCAGGCCCAGAGCTGTGTCCCAGCGTGTCCCCAAGCTGCTGCTGAGATGGCCAGGCACAGGCACAGCCAGGCTGGAGCCCCTGCTAGCAGAGGCAGTCAAGCAGGAACCTCATCTAGAAAGAGCAGCTGATGCTTCTCAGTGGGGACCAGGGACTGCAACGTGGCAGCATTAGCCATGAAAAGCTTTTTTCTGAGCATGGGTCAGTCCCCCTGGGGATGTGGGTGTTGTTCCAGTGCACAATTACCTTAAAATCAGGCCTGAAAAAAAAATCCAGAATTACATCAAGTATTTTTTTAATGAACATGTTTTTATGTGGTTGGTGTTGTCCCTCTCTGAACGCCTGTCAGCACAGCAGGATTCAGGTGAATGGCTCTGCTGAAGCTCACTTGGCAGCCACCACAAATTCAGGTGTGTTCAGCTCACCCCAGCCCCGTGCTCTGTCCTCTCCACACACTGATGCACACACTGCTGCTGTAGCTGCCTGGGGCTGCCCCTCGCTGTCATTGTCCCCAGCCTGCAGGGAGATCTGCAGCACAAATGCAGCAAAGCTCATTCTATCCTTCCACCAGCTAAGACAACATGGAGCAGAAAATTAAAATAGCATCATCACATTCATGGAATTCCCATCACACTGAGCCTGGCTGATAACGGGACCAGATTAAACTGTACTAAGAAGGTCCACAGCAGCCTTTTCTGCCAGATTTCTTGAACTAACCTTCACCCACAGCCTCAGAGTGATATTTGCTGTTAAGTCTTTTGTGTCTGCAGTAACAATGCTAACTTACTGATTTTTCTGACAAGTACTAAATAGTAAAAAGAGGAATGATGGTTGCAATGTGTTCTAGTCAAGGGTGAGATAGAGTTGTAGATATCACAGAATCATAGAAGAGTTTGGGTTGGAAGCGACCTTTAAAGGTCACCTAGTTCAAACCCCAAAGAAGAAATGCTATTCAGAGAAAGGTTCTATGCACAGAGATTTATTGATACATTTTTTCAGGCGTGGTCCTGTCCTTTAAAACAAAGCGAGTTCCTAAGATGTAGTTTGCAGTGCCTTCAGCCCGTGGCACCCCCTCAAATTACAGCAGCAGATCTGCAGTGTAAACTGATGTCCAGGCTTCCCCACAAAGCCAAGAGACACCCACAGGAAGCAAGCTCAGCCCCACACTTTCATGGAAAACAGCAGCAGTAGCCTCTGAGGAATTGGAGGGGTCTCTCAAATCCAGGAAAGGCCAGGTAGCAATCTGATTCTGGCATAGCTCATGCTCAGGAAAGGGACATTGCCAGGACCACCACAGAAATACACCTGGACCTTTATCTGGACTCCATCAATCCTTGGGTATCCAGCAGTGTCTTTCAACAAGCGAGACAGCTCCAGCTCCATACAGGGTTTGTATCAGTCACCATAAGGGAGTGCCCCTCTGAAAGCTGTGAGTTTGGATTTCACACTACATCTGAAGAGCTGCATTAGAGCTTTAAACAGGAGTAAAAGCACGACTGAAAACTTGTCCCTGAAAAAAAGCCAGATGTCAAAAATGCCTCAAGGAGGACCTTTCAGATGCGGTGCTGACTCAGTAGAGGATTGGAGCTCTGAGCAAAGGCGCTGCCTTCAGGTTTTGATCCCCAACATGCTCAATCATCCGAGGCTCTGTATGTTTTCTACATGTGTATGTATTTTGCCACCAGGGCATTTGTTAAGATGGTAGGTGACGCCTATCAATGGTCCTCCGAGGGGCACAGGGGCTGAACACCCGCACCCAGCGAGCCCAGCAGCAGCAGCAGCAACGAGATGGAGAATCCCAGCCGGGTCCTGCTATCTCAGGGACCCAAACCCACCAAGCTCCCGAGACGCCGCTGCAGCCGCCCCCTGCCCTCTCCGCTCCGTGCCCCGGGGGTGCTGCCGGCCTTCCCCTCCCCGCCGGGAGCCGCCGGCGCCGCGCTGCCGCCAGCCCGGAGCCCCGCGGCCCCGAGCGGGGGCAGAGCCGCGGCCCCGCCGCGCATCCCCCGCGCCGCTGGGGGAGGAGCCGCCCGCGCCGCTCCAGCCCCTTCCCGCGGCGGGGCCGGGGCTCCCCCCGCCGCCGCGCCGCGCGGAGGGGCCGGCGGAGCCAGAGCCGCGGAAGTGCACTTGCTGCAGCCATTTCCTGCTCTTTGTGCGGGCGGCGCGCAGCATCCCCCGCCGAGCATCCCGCGGCGCCGGGCAGCGCACCCGCGGAGCGCAGGTGAGCGGGCGGGGGTGGGCGCGGGGCTGCGCGGGGGCTGCGCGGCTCCATCCCCTCCTTCCCTCCTTCCTTCCTTCCCTCCCTCCCTCCCCGGGGCTGTGCCCGCCGCCGAGCCCCATCTCCGCGGAGCCCCGGGCGGGCGGAGCGGGGCAGGTGCGGGATGTGCGGGATGTGCGGGCCGGGATGTGCGGGCCGGGATGTGCGGGATGTACGGGATGTGCGGGCCGGGATGTGCGGGATGTACGGGATGTATCCCACAATGCCCCGAGCTACCTGCGGCGCTCAGCCTGCCCGCAGCCGCCGCACGGCGCCGGGGAAAAAATAGCGCAAATCCGCCTTGTCCTCCCCCCGCCCCGCATCCCCAGCACGGGCGAAGGGGCCGAGCCCCGGGCCCGCGGGAGCTGCAGGCCCCAGCCGGGGTGGCGGCGGTGCTGGAGAACGGGGCGCGGAGAGGATGCTGATGATAGAAGGGCGGCCCCGGCCGGCTCCGGAGCACCCGTGGCGTGGAAATATGGTGTTCCAGGGGGATGAGGGGGATGGAGGCAGCGCCGGCGTCAGAGGCAGCGCTGGGGATGAAGGGCTGGAGCGGCGGCCGCAGGTTCGGGCTGTGCCCGGGTCGCGGGCGGCGGAACCGCTCCCGCCCCGCCGGTGCCGGTGCCGGTGCCGGTGCCGGTGCCGGTGCCGGTGCCGGTGCCGGTGCCCGGGGCCGGCAGAGCTCCTCCTTTGTGCTCAACTTTGCCCCCGATGCCGCTGGAAATGCCCCGTGCCAGCCGCATCCCAGCGGCCCCGGGGGGAGGGAGCGAGGGGATGGATTCCGCAGGAAATTTCCGTGGGTTGGAAGGACCGGGAAGGAACGAGGAGGAGAAGGAGAAGCAGCAGCACACAGTGAACGCTCCCTGCTGTTGGGGAAGGGGGCAGGGTGCAGGGTTTGTGCTGTCAGGGGACGCTGCCAGCAGCAGAGCGTGGCCCCCTTTGCCATCTGCCGCTTCCCACGGGGGGTTCCCGCCTGGGGGCTTTGGATCACAAAGGTCTCAGAGAATTAGGCTGAATCCCCGAAGCCCCTGCACCCTCCTGCCCTGAGATACCGAGAGAAAAATCACCCTCGTGTTTTGCCTGATGATGGTAGTCTGGGGTTAGTCACAGAGATGGGGAACTAGCCCAGTGTTCTGGTGTCACAGCCTTATAATTCTGTGCTAATTCCCTGCATATAGGAAAATTCTTTTTTCCTTTTCTCTGTACAGTTGATTAATGAGCTATTAATGAAGCCTAAGGAATAGGGGAAAATCTTCCATTTTCTGACCGGGAGTAAAGCAGAATATGCTGAATTCATTTTCACTGTATTCAATTTTGTTAACAAACAGTGATCATCTTTGCATGAGAAATGGGAAGACTGGTTTTGGAGGATCAATAATTGGTCAACTATTAACAATGCTGGCCTGTGTGATTTGGTTTCCCAAGAAGTGCTTTAACTGTCAGCAGTGGGTTGTTTATAAACTTGCTCTAAATTTCTCAACTCTATTGGAAATGTAGTTTCATATACCTGTCTCCTTCCTTGACCTGCTTTCTTTGGCACCAGAAAAAAAAATACTATTTAGTTATTCTAAAAGAAATAAATTCCAGGATAATTGTGTTGCTGAGAGACAAGGATGGTGCAAATGCTTGGAACTCAGCCCTAATGGGATATCAGAAAACATAGAGTGAAAATAGAGAAAACCAGCTTCAGGGGTCGTGCAGTTTGGCTTCCTTTTTTTGATGGGAAGGTAATTTTATGGTTATTAACATTTGTGTCTGTGTAGAGCAGAGGCCCAGCTCTGCCAGCCTCACTCACTCTGCAAAGAACCTCCTGACTGTGGTGGTGGTTGCAATTACAAGTCCTGTGCATTTTAGGCAGGATTCAAACTAAAGTTTTACACTGTGAAGTTATTTTTTACTAAATATATGTTTGTGGCCAGGATCCTTTATCCTCCTGTTGCTGTCAGGCAGTGGGTACCAGAAACTTGGCTTTTATGAAACTGATACTTGGTTCTGCTGGGTATTTGTTGGGCCAGGAGAGGGCCTGCCCATTGGTTTGGTGCTGTATTTGGAGAAAGAGAGAGAAGCATTTTCACAGGGATAAAACAAAATTCAGTGACTTTCCCAGGTTATCCAGGGGGGCTGGGAGCCCAGAGCTGGATTCTCAGACAATCAGAGGGTGACCAGGTTTGTCCTCCTTCTCTACATTGCCACCTCCCCAGCAAAAGTCTTTTACTGCTCACCCCAGGCTCACAGGGCTTGGACTCTGTCTGGGCAATTCCCATTTTTTCTTGCCTCCTTTCCTGCTCTTGGTGCCTACGACAGCACCAGTGTGAGGAGCAGGCAAGCTGAAAATCCTGAACAGCCCATGCCACTTCCCCAGAGCCCTGAGCTGTGCAGCCTGGGAGCTGAGCACGTGTGCATACAACGTATTCATTGTGGCCCTGCTTTTAAAAGTCTTTATTTCCCCAAGCTGCTTGAACAGTAAAGTCACCTTTGTGCTTCTCCCTGCAAAGAGGGTGATACTGCACCAATACTTCTGGGCAAGAATTTTGGTGGGGAAGGCAGGACATGCCCTGCAAGTTCAGACATCTGGTGTGTCCATCCTCTCTCCTCAGAGCCTTCCTGTGCTGCCTGTGAACCTGGTCCCCAGGCTCTGCCACAAGAGCCCTGTGTCAGCAACTCCTCCTTCCCATCCCTGCCTGGCTGGCTCCCTGCAGCTCCCCCAGGTCCTCTGGGAGATCATTTGGCTTTGGGAGGTGTGTGAGATGGCCAGAGGGTTTGCAGCTGAGCTGTGGGAAGGGGATGGGGAAGTTTCTGCAGCAAATGAGCAGAAAGAGTGGGCAGCACTGCACCCATTAGCACCACTGCTCACGAGCAGGAGGGATAAACAGCCCAGTGCAGCATCCCTGCCTCAGGTTTCACTGGGGTGGGGTTGGTTTCTGCCAGGCTCGCCTTCAGTTTTGCCAAAACACGTAGGACAGGAGGAACTTTGGTTTCTCTGACCAGAGCTGGGATCTGGAGGTGGCTCCTGGCAGCCTGTGAGGCCAGAGAGGCAGGATGTGCTTCAGGAAAGCCTCACCCCACTGTGCCTGGGCTAGGACAGAGAAAAGCCCCGTTCCTGGGCCCTGCTGTGCTGCTCAGGTGGAGCCCAGCCCCATGGCCTGTGTGCCCAAGCACTGTCACCATGGGCTGAGTGTCCTCTTCCCATCACAGCCACCCCAAAGCCCAGGTGGTGGATGGCACTTAAGGGTTTCTGATGAGTGTCCCCAAGGATTCCTGAACTCCCTGAGCTGCAGCTGCTGCCAGATGACCTCCAGCTGCCCCCCTTGTCTCTGGACAGAGGGATGGAGCTGGATGTACAGGACAGCCCCAGATGTCTGGGTTAGAACCTCCTCTGCAGGAGGGTGAGGGAGGCAGCACAGGTCTGGGGGAGTGGGGCTTCACTGCCATCCTCTCTGGGTGATCTGGGGTGCTGAATGACCCAGCTGGCCCTGGAGCAGTGGCCCCTCTGTCACATACTCTGTCTGTGAGTGCTAGGGACACCAGGGCAAGTCCTGGCTGACCACACTGTTCCCTGTAGCTGCTGTTGGGTTCTTGGTTGGTCTTAAGAAAGGGTGGATTGGAAGCTGGAAGTCCCCATAAAAACTCATGTATTAAACCCTCAAAGTCTGTAGCTTTTCCAGCTGCATCTGGGTCCTTGCACTGCTCAGCCATGGCAAAGCATGGGGTGGGCTGGTGGCTCATTGCACCCCTCACTTGCAATGTCTTGATGCATTCTTTTCTGTCCATGTGTTTCTGCACCCTTCCTCTCTGCCTGTTTGAGTGCAACGTTTTTAGGGTAGGGGCTGGCTCAGCCTCCCAGGTGTGGGCACTGCCTGGCACAGCAGGACCCTGATGCTGGATTTGGTCCTCCTTCTCCTGGAGTGGCCCAAACAGCAGCAATAATTTTGTCCCTTGAGTTGCTGAGCTCTTTGGGTGTTACAGGGTTGTTGTGGGAATGCCTTTGGTTACAGCAAACAGACAACACCATGCACAAATGGCCTTAGAACTGGACTTAGAGAAAAATGGGGAATGAGCTCAAATAAACAGCCACAAAGCCTATGAAAAGGAAAGTTTTGCCTTCTCAAGCCTGAAGTGTGCAATGAAGCAGGAGTGAGTAGCCAGGAGTGTTGTTCTGGGATGCCAGTGGTGATCCTGAGGAGCTGGAGGATGTGGGGGAGCGTGGTGGGCAGTTCTGTGTCCATCTGGGTCCATCTGGGGCTGGGCAGGCTGAGCTCCCCCCAGGCAGAGCAGCCCAGGGAGCCCCAGGCAGGCAGGGAGGAAGCTGCAGAAATGTAATGTCTGGCTTTGACAGTTGCTACACTTTGTAACAGGAAACCATTTTACCAGACAGGGGTGAAGAAGGAAACAGAAATTTGAGTGTGGAGGGGGAAAAGCTGCTTGAGATTTTGGGTATTTTCCAGGCACTCATTTAATGCTGCTTCAGCTGCAGGTACAACCAAACCTGTTTCTCTGGTGCCTTGGGGAGGCATCTGTGGAGCAGGAATGAGTTTTGCCAGGCTCACAGGTATTCCTGCAGCCCACGATGATGAGGCACAGCTGCAGACTCCCTCCCTCTTATGACCCACCATGAAGCCACCCCAGGAGTGCACCCTGTGCCTCCCCCTTAGCTGTGGCCCTTGCTGGGTGCCTGTCCATGGATGTCCCAAAGCCATTATCCTTCCCAGGGCTAGAAATAAAAAGCAAACTTCTTTTCTTGGAAGCGCTGGTGACCAAAGGAGCTGCTGTGGTTCTGCTGTATTTGGTGCTTGTGCAGACACTGCCAGAGCCTTGTGTCCTGCCTGCTACCCTGTCTGGCAAAAAAAAAGTTGCAAAAGCTTAGAGAAAAGCCAAAGAGATGATTAAAGGATTTGAAAACATGCTCTGTAATGAGGCAGGCAAAGAGCTTAGCTGGCTTGCAGGGTGTTATATTGAAATGTGTGAGTATCTCATTGGGAACTTTGATTTAGGGAGCTCTACTGTCCTGCAGATCAGAGCAACGAAACTCAAAGGCTCACATTTCAAACTAGACAGGCTCTGGGTGAGGCAAGAAGCACTGGAGGGGGTGTGATTTTCTGATGGAATCAGGTGTCAATATTTAAATTCTCTCTCTCTCCAAATGTCTAAGTGTAGCAGGGTGTTTTTCTGGGAGACACAGGCTCTAGGTCAGCCACAGCTACTGCACAGGATTAGGCATTAACTGGGGAAGCCCTGTGGCTGTGATTACACAAGGGCTCAGCCTGGGTGACAGCCCCATCCCCCCGTGCCTGGGCATTCACAGCCAAGGTGAGTGCCAGGGGAGCCAGGGACACACAGGTTTGTTCTGTGCTTCCCACAGAAGGGCTTCCCTGGGCTGAGCACCAGGGAACTTTCAGAAATGTTTCCCTTTGATTTTATTTTGTGTATTTATTTTCATTTTTGCAACTGGAGCTCTTGGCAGCTCCAGGGCAGGCTGGGACTGGGCAGGGGATGCCATGTCAGTGGTAAAAGTAGGGAAATTTAACAGCAACTTCTTTTTTTGCTGCTTGCAGTGCCACGGCTTTGCCTGCACAGCACTCAAGCCTTTCCAGTTCACCCCTGGGGTTTAATGCAGTTGGTTGTTTACAGTTTCCAGGGCTGCTCATGTGTGTGAGGAAAGCATGTGAGTGTCAGCATCCGTCGTACTTCTCTAATCAAGCTGCTTCAGGAGATATTCTTGATAGCACCGCTTTGCATTTTGGGGCACACGCTTTCACCCGGGGCTGCTGAAGCTGCACTGCAGCACCAGCTGTGCTGCCTGAGAGAGTTTTGCATAGAGTTAACAGAGAAGTGCCTGGGTGGGTAGTTGCTTTTCTTTCATTCTGCATTCCTGCTCTGCTGTTGAATCGCAGGAGAGAAATGACACAGAGATGTGGCAAAATGCACAAGAGAAGGGAAAACAAATTGGGATTTTGTCCCCTGCAATGCCAGCAAGCCGTGCTCTGGTTTTGTCCTGTCCCACTCAGTGTCCTGCCTGCTGGCTGGTTTTCTTGTCTGCCTATCACCCTCTCTTTTGCTTTGGATGTAGCAGGGGAGCTGAACATCTGCAGCCATGACGACTCACGTCACGCTCGAGGATGCCTTGTCCAACGTGGACTTGCTGGAGGAGCTGCCCCTGCCAGACCAGCAGCCATGCATCGAGCCCCCTCCCTCCTCCATCATGTACCAGGTACCCCCGAGGCTCAGGGGAGGGAGGGAGGGTTGTTCCAGTGGCTCATGCAAAGCACGGGGCCACACAGCACTGTGAGAACCAGCTGGAAACATCCGGGGTTCAGCGTGTTGAGGGAAACACTCAGAGCAGATCTAGCCACAAATCTGTTCCCAAGGACTTTAAAGAGAAAGCACCAGAGTTTGGTGAAAGGCACTTTTAAGGCCAAGTGAAAATGAGGACCAGAGTGCATGAATGGGTGGGAAGCAGGAGATAAGATTAGTGATAACAGCAGAAAGTTCTCAGCAATGTTTATTTGTGCACATATTTCTGTGCTTCCTTTCCACGATCGTGCGTGCATCGAACCGAGCGGGGCAGCTCAAAGTCCTGCCTGACTTTGGCTGGCCTGTGCCTCCAGCACAGCTGGAGCTGCTGGCATGCAAGGGAGGGCAGCTGCTAGAACCACTTCTGTGCTCTGAACAGCTCAGCTTTAGCTGCAGCTGCACTCACCAAGCAAGGCCTGGCCGGGGCCCAGGGCACGGCTCCCACAGTGGGATGCCTCTGCTGCTTGGCCACCACACCCTGCCCTGTGGCACACACCCAGGGCTAAATATAATAGGGGGTTCCTTTCTCCATCCTGCCACTCCTGAGCTGCTGGCTCAGCCCTGGCAGTGCATAAATACACCAGCACTGGGCTTGCTGTGCCTTGTGTGCAGGGCTCTGGAACTACAGCAGCGCAGACCCCGGGCTCATTCCACAGCTTTGGTGTCTCTATGGGTTATCAGACCCAAAGGTCATTCAGGGATGTTCAAATTTCAGCTCTCCCTGAAAAATCTTGATGTAATTATTTGCTTATCTCTTCTTTCAATAAATTTTTAGCCTTTGCTGGTTTGTGTCTCATGAGGGGCTCAGGGTTCAGCCTGATGGCACAGCCTCCTTTCAAGCCTATGAATGTGTGCACACAGGTGGGCCTAAAAACCTCCTCTAAGCTGAATCTGGAGATGTTGGCCAAGCCTGTTTCCTCATCATACTCAGTTTGTGTGTAGCCCTTCCCCCTGCTAGCCAGAAATGCTCATGCAATCTCAGCTTTTGTTGTCACATTGGTCACATGTGATGTCCTGGAGGCACTAAGAAGAGTGGCCCTGTGGCCACAGGTCCATGCTCCCAGCTTTCCTACTCAGGAAATCAGTTACTGAGGTGGGTGTGATTGCTGCAGTGCTGCTGCCATCACAAGGAGCAGCTCTGGGTGCCTGGGGCCTCTGTGTGCCCTGCCCTGCAGCAGGTACCATCAGCCAGCCTTGGCAGGGGAATCACCAAGCACAGAGCATGTGAAGGGCACTCCAGAGAGCCAGGGGAGCTGATGTTCCATCCCCAACCTGCATCTGCAGTTTCTTGCTCCCCTGTCCCAGCCCAAAACTGTATCACAGAGCAAATGTTTGTCCCAACAACTGTTTGTGCTTGCAAGAGCAACAGTAGCACTGATAATAGCACCTGGATGAGGGCTGACTTTCATATTTATGTTTTCCAGACAGCTCATTCCCTGCCCTTTCTCTGTGTTTATCCCTTGGCCTTCCTGCTGACAGGATGTGGTCTTCCCCTAGCAGCCAGGGCACAAACAGAAATTAATAAGGCTGCATCTGTCTTTGAGTTACCCAGCTAAAATCCCTAGAATAATTGCTCTAGCTTTTCTCTCTGCTGTGGCTGCAGTAAAGTTGGGCTTAATTCTACAAGGATTGTAAATGTCAGTCTTGACTGCCACATTTCCACACATATTCCCTGCAGGACAACCATGTGTGATTCCAAAGCATCTCAGGGTGTGTGTATGTATGAAACTCCTTCAGACCTAGAGGTGCAGCACCTCAAATAGTTCACAAGCTCCTCCCATGCCCCAAGAGCCCTACTAATTCTGCTTTTTGCCAGCACATCCCATGTTAGGCTGTACCAGGTGAGCAAACAACCAGCTGTGTTTGATGCCCATCTCTCTGTTTTGCCCACAGGCTAATTTTGACACAAACTTTGAAGACAGGAACGCCTTTGTGACAGGCATTGCCAGGTACATCGAGCAGGCCACAGTGCACTCCAGCATGGTGAGTCCCCCAGCTGTGTCCCCAGGCTGCTGAGCCCCCAGTGCCTGCCCTGTCCCACCTGCACCCCTCTGTCTTTCAGAATGAGATGCTGGAGGAAGGCCACGAGTACGCCGTGATGCTCTACACGTGGAGGAGCTGCTCCCGAGCCATCCCTCAGGTAGCCCAGCCCTTCCCAGGCAGGGGTGCTCCCAGAGCACCTCTTGGCTTTTGTCTTGGGTGTGGGTTACTTTGGAATTGAGACAGAAGAACAGGAAAAGCAAAGCAAACTAAAGCAGAGGATGCTGAGACCCAGCCATGAGGAGATTCCTGCTGTTGATTGGTATTTTATATTTGCTGCTGTGCTGCTGTTGCCTCCCCTGGCTACTCCAGCAGAAGGCTGTGGCTAAGCTGATGGCAAGACAGCACTACAAATCATGTGGTGTAGTGTCCTCCCTGTGACATTTGTGCCTCTCTGAGCAGCTTGTTGGTCCCTGCCCCTTCCCCTTGTGCTGCCCTCAGGGCTGCTGTCAGTGCTGTGTGTGATGGAGGAGCAGAGGATGCCATGGCAGAGGGTTCAGTTACACCTTGACCAGGTTTGACCTTGCAGTGACCCCTGTGCTTTGCCTTGGGGCACATGGATGTGGGCAGAGGGGTCCTGTGCTCAGCCCCCCAATCTCCCTGCTTGGTCAGGTGCAGCTCCCTGCTGCATCAGAGTCTGTGGCTCCAGAGGTGAAGAACAGGGCCTGCACCTGAGTGTGCACCACTCCTCCCACCCCCACTGCACCCTCATGGCCATTGATGCACGGTGGGATGCTCAGGGCTGTCCTGGGCAAGGCCAGGAGCTGGGCTTTGGTGGTCCCTGTGAGTCCCTTCCAGCTCAGAATATTCTGGGATTCTGTGGAACAGCAGGGCAGGGACATTGGATTGCCCACTGCAGGGAGGGCAAGGCTCCTTTGGCACCATTTCCCCGTGCCAGGCTGGCTGATGTGTCCCCCCATGCCCTGAGCATCAGGTGCTGGGTTCCTGAATGTGCAGCAGAGCTCTCAGCCCCATCAGAGCCTCCTGGGAGCAACAGCTGCAAACTAAACCAGAGCAGGGCTGCAGGGTGCTCTGGGCAGCTGCTCTTTTCCCTGTGCATTTGGTAATGACTCCAAGTAACTGTTTTGGAAGTGAGATGGATGACAACTGAGTAAGTCCTTAAATTTAGCTTCCCAGGAGCCCAGTGACAGTGACTCAGTTCATTGCTGTCAGCCACAGACAAGCCCAGTGATTTTTAATGGATCCTCAACAGAACCAGAATAATCCCAGGGAGGCTCTGCAGAGCTGTAACCTGGTGCCTTGTGTGTCTTGCAACACAAATCTCAGATAAGTTCATGCTACAATAGGTCCAGCCTCCATGCTTGTGTTCCATGCCAGACAAATCAGGAGACTTTTATCCCCCAGAATCAGGATTTTAGAATTTAGAATGCACAGAGAGGATTTCAGATCTGAAATATCACCTTTTGCTTTCACCTGTTGTATTGAGAACCAGCTCCTTCTCAGGTCCCTCTGTCTTTGGGTGGAGACAGGACTCCAGGTGAAGCAAGGAGAAGGTGGTGCCACAGTGACCCACAGCTGGCTTAGAAGCTGATGCTGACACAGATGGTTTTCTTTGCAATGCAGGTGAAATGTAATGAACAGCCAAACCGAGTGGAGATTTATGAGAAAACAGTGGAAGTCCTGGAGCCAGAAGTCACCAAGCTTATGAAGTTCATGTATTTTCAGGTAAGTGATCAAGGAGAGAGGTAAAAATAGTATATTTACTTTGGTGTTAACATCCCAAGCAGGGCTGTGCTATCCTTGCCTGACAGCCCCCAGTAGGTCTCTCCCTTGCAGCCACCTGAGCAGAAATTTGCAACCTGTGGGAAATCTGTGTGTCCCTTGCTCAGCCCTAAAATATTCTATACATGTTGGGAAACAGCACACCTCAGCCCTTCAAGTTCATGGAGAACCAGAGTCCCCCCTGTTTGGAGCTCAGGGTGTCACAGGCTCCTGTTTTTGGGATGTTGGCTGATGTGAAAAGCTGATTGTCCATTGCCATGTGACAGTCACAGCTGCTGTGGGCTCCCCATCACCACCTGCATTATAACCAGCTGCAGCTGAGTTTCACAATAATTTTTAGGTTTTATATCCTGTGAGGCCTTTGTGTCCCACCTAAAAAATGCAGCCTGATTTTGCAGAACACCCCACACTTGGGGCCGGAGAGCTCGACCCCCTTTCTCCCCTCACTGAGCGTGTTTGTCAGCAGTGATTTGTAACAATGCTTCATTGCATGGGAACAGCAGAGAGGAACCTCAGACCCTCCATCCCCTGCCAAAAAAAGCTTTATTTAAAGGAGCTGGTGGGGTGGAGGGGGTTCCCCTGGCGGTGCATGACCCTGTGCCCCTGCCCTGCAGCGCAAGGCCATCGAGCGCTTCTGCAGCGAGGTGAAGCGCCTGTGCCACGCTGAGAGGAGGAAGGACTTTGTGTCTGAGGCCTATCTCCTCACTCTGGGCAAGTTCATCAACATGTTTGCTGTCCTGGATGAGCTGAAGAACATGAAGTGCAGCGTGAAAAATGATCATTCTGCTTACAAAAGGTGAGAGGGGACAAAGTGGCGGGAATGGGGACAGGACTGTGCTGGGTCTGACCAGCAGTGAGGGCAGGAGGACATCAGGGCTGGAGATGGGGTTTCTGTGCTGTCCCAGCTCTCTTTGTGAATTTAGCCAAATCTCTGAGCCCTGTTGTGTTTCAATTCCCTCTTGGTGAACAGAGCTGTGATGCAGGGGGGTCTGAGGCTGCAGTGTTGCTGCAGGTCAGACAGAGAGGGTGGGTGGTGACAGTCTCACACTGGCTGAGTGACCCTTGGTGATGTTGGATTTGTCCCTTCCAGAGCTGCCCAGTTCCTGAGGAAGATGGCAGACCCCCAGTCCATCCAGGAGTCCCAGAACCTCTCCATGTTCCTGGCAAACCACAACCGCATCACTCAGGCAGGTCCCTTTTCTCTGAGCCACTGAACCTTCCATGGGTAGAGAGGAGCAGTGACCTTGCTGAGGCTGACAGCACCTCAGACCAGGCTGTGGCAGCAGCTCTTGGGTCTGTAACACTGGCTCTCGTGGTCTTTTGGTCAGGCTGTGTAATTCTAGCAATGTCTCCTCATGTGTCATCCTGGGTGGCTTTGAAGGTCTCTGTGTTAAGACAAAGATCAAGGTCTAAAAGATGTAAGAAGAGCCCTGGGAGGTGAAGGTTCTGCTGGAACCCCACCCCCTGCAGCTGCATGGGGACTCCAGCTTAACCCCCGTGGCCCTCCACAGGTCACAGGCTCCATTGGTTCTGCTAACTAATTAAAATATCCCAGAGACAGGAGTCAGACACTTTGCTCAGTCACCCTCCTTTGCATCTCATTGTCTGATGTTTGGGTGTTGTGATCAGTCTGAAGAGGAGATGTCCTGCAGAGGAAGATTGTTTTTTCCAGGTAGTACCATGAGCTCAGCCTTCTGCTGGTAAACAGCATAAATGAGGTTTGAAGGAACCTCTTATTGTTCCACTCTTAATCCTTAAAATGTTTCCTGCCTGGTTTCTGCTGTTCCTCTGCCCATGTGGATAACGTGGCTTCTGTTGTGTTTCAGTGTCTGCACCAACAACTGGAGGTTATCCCTGGCTATGAGGAGTTGCTGGCTGATATTGTCAACATCTGTGTGGATTACTATGAAAACAAGATGTATCTCACCCCCAGTGAGAAGCACATGCTCTTAAAGGTGAGGTTGGGCCATGCTTGTGGGGCTTGCATAGGTTCACTATTGCTTTAGTAAAATGAAATTCACTCCTATGACAACATCTCTCTTCAATTTCTTGATTTTTTGCTCCTTTGGGCTGACATGCATCCCTTTCCTGCAGAGACAGTGCCCAGCACATGGTGGGTGAGAGCACTGGTGGGTGCCATACATCCCCCAAGGCTGGAAGGGGTTTTTCTGTTGTGCATGGAAGTGCAGGATCATGGGCTTGACCTGAGTAACTGCAGAGGACATTGTAAAATCACCACCAAGTTTTAACACAGAATTTTCTTCTTGATGCCCATTCCCTGCAGAAGGCAGATGCTCCCAGGTTTGTTTTTCTGGCTGTAAAGAATCCTCAAGATAAACATGCCAAAATATCTCTTTATTTGGTGTATTTGTCCTTGCTGTCAGTCAGTTATTGGCAATGATTGCAGTCACTATTACCATAAAAACTTCATTGCAAGGGTGTGAGTCAGCTCAGGTTCTCTGATGTGTGGGGAGTTTGACTCTGTAATGATTTGTACTAAATTAATAAGGTAGGGGGTAAACCAAACCAGGAAAATATTTTAAATTCTTCTCCAGGAGTAAATTTTTGCCTTTGGTGGAGAAAGCTTTTGTGTTGCTGTTATGTGGGAAGAGGAGGAACAAATAACCAAGGGAAGCATCCTGTGTTTTTGCACAGACAGCAGAAGCAATCCATTGTGTGTCCTCTGCCTGCCATGTGCCTCCTGGCAGATACAGGCACATTTTCCACATTTCCTCATGAGGATCAGGTGGTAGCAGGAACCTGAAATGGTCTTTCCTCATGCTGAGTGATGGAGAACTGTCTTTGACTTGTGCTGCTGACTTCATGCTGATGAAACCTTGCCTTTCCATCTTCTCCAGGTGATGGGGTTTGGCCTGTATCTCATGGATGGGAATGTCAGCAACATTTACAAGTTGGATGCCAAGAAGAGAATCAACCTTAGCAAAATAGACAAATTCTTCAAGGTCAGTGAGCTGTCTGTGTGAGGCTGGTGTTTATTGCAGACCAGTGGATTAACAGCCTGTACCACTGCTGCTAGCAAAAAACAAACCACAGGAATCATTTACAGGTCCAAAACCCCCAAGGGCTGGAAGCCATCTAGGCCAAAGGCTGAGGAGTGGAATTGCAGCAGGGTGAGGGGAGCAGTGCTGCCCCTCAGGGCTGCAGGGCTGTGGCTGCAGAGCTGGGCTGGCTCTGCAGTGGGAGCTGCAGCTCTGGCTGCTCCCTCCCTGCCAGGGCCCAGAGGATGGAGAGGCTGTTCCATGGGTGAGGGGAGGATGTGCCCAGCTGCTGACATGGCTGCTGTCTCTTTGCACGTCCCTGAGGCAGGTTTGCAGTCTCTGTGTTTCAGGCCACCAGCAAACCTGGCTGGTGATGGTTCTGCTTCTCTGTCCTTCTGCAAGCTGCTGGGCTGAGGGACAGAGGACACAGCTGGCAGTTTTATTTCATGTATAAACTGTGCTCCCTGTGGCACCGGAAAAGGTTTTGGGGGAGTTTGTGGCAACTGGCACTTGGAGGTGCCCAGTGAGATCTTCAAAGGGTCACTCTGGTTTGATGAGCTGTTTTTGTCTGGTCTGAGCTGTGGATTTTGGGGAAAGGCCCATGAAACCTCCTGGGTGTTCCCAGGGGCAGGGTGGGAAGCAGCCACACAACCTCTCTCTGCTGGAGCACATCTGGCCATGGTCTGATCCACAGCTGGAGGCCAGGCTGCACTGCCCTGGCACCACTCAGCACAGGAAAGGTTTGGGATTACCCTTTTGGTGGAGAGGAGGGCTGAGAGCCCACACAGCACTTCAGGGAAGGTGGTGCCTCCTTTCCCCTGCTTCTGGGCACAGGCTGGGACTGGGAGGCATTTTGGGTTTGGAGCAGGTCAGCTGTAGGAGGCATGGTAGGATCTAGCAAAAGACAAATGTGTTGGTGGCAAAGAGCAGGAGGACAGCAGAAGAATTTCCCAGATGGAGCAGATGGAGTCCTTCCTGAGTCCTTCCTGAGTACTTCCTGAGTCCTTTATTAATCTTTCCCCTGAGATGGAAAGATCAGTTTCTGTTACCAAGACTTGCTCCAGATGAGGGAAAATGAGGTGGTGATGATTTATGGAAAGGCACAGAGGGCTCCTTCCCCTGACTCTTCCAGCACAGTGGGTTCTCCCTGGTACTTCCCCCAGAGGTGGGGTGAGGAGCTTGGATGAAGAGATTGGTGGTGGTGTTGGACAGAGGATGTCTCCCTGCTTACTGCCCCAAGGTGCAGTTTGTGGGTGATGTGCTGGGTGTGTGCAGGGGAGGGCATAGGTGAGCCCAGGTTTGATGGAAGGTTGGGGTGCATCCTCCCCTGAGCTGGTGGGGACCTGTTTACCCCAGTTTGCACCATTTCCTGGGGACAGCCCCAAGAGCAGGGGGCCAGAGACTCCATAACCTTATGGACAGGGCGATGATGGTTAAAAAACCTCCCATCACTGGGGAGACTGCTCTGCAAAGGTGATTTATCACATCATCCTTTAGAGTCTTCTGGGTTTTTCCTGATTCAGCTTTGCTAATTCAGCTAAATCTCTAAATCAAGCCTTCAGTGTAATCTGTAGAGTTTGGGTATCTTGGTGCATTCAGACAGGTTTGCTGTTCATTGCAAAGTGCTGTGGGCCATCAGAGAATGAGGTAAAAAACCTTCCATTGCATGGAGTAACTTTCTCCTTTCCAGCTTGGTTTCCATTTGCACTTCTCCACCATCTACTGTGGTCTCACCTAACCAGAAAAGTACCACTCCAAACTATCAGATCTCAATAAGGAAAGACCAACTACTCCTTCACTACATCTGCTTATTTCCTTCTGATTAAATTTCTAGTGGATTGCCCAGGAATTTGAGTAGTGATAATAAACTACCCCTTCATTTAAACCTTTTATGGAAGTGCCAGTGGGAGTCCCTGATGACAGCATTACACATCCTGTGCACAGCTCAGCCTGAGAAACGAAGTGTGTGATAATAGGACAGGGAATTTTCCCCCATCTTCCCTGAATTTAGGGCAAAGCTTTTTGTAGCTGGGTGAAGTTGAAGCTTCATAATTTATTGATGAGCTGTCAGTAGCCCTTGGTTGGATTTTGTTGGTAGGTGGAAGTTTATTGAAGGAGGGACCTGTCTGAGCTTGAGTTATCTTCAGAATCTTGGAATTTATTTCCCATCCCAAACCTTCTGAGACGTGAAGGGCAAGCAGAGCCATGTTACATTGCCTGTGTCTTTCTCTTCATGGAGAAGTTTTAAGACACATCACAAGCAAGCACAGTGCTGAGTCCCTGGGGAAAGCTGACACCTTCCTGGGTGTCCAGAATAGCAACATGCTGCCTTTTCATCCCTCTGTTCTCTTGGAGGATTAGGCTGGGAGACAATCAGGCCTGCTCAGGACCACACTTCTCTCTTTTTGTTGTAAAAAGATCCTTTCCTCTGCCTGGTTACAGCACTGAACCATTCTGGCCATAACCAGCCTGGTGGCAGTGAGCCCAGGGCACTCACAGGGAGTGATTTCCTCCCACAGAAAGCCTTGTGAGCATTCTCAGTCATTTCCTAGGTGTGAAATGACCCTGGGTCCAGGTTTGCACTTTGCAAAGCTTCAGAGGTGCAGCATGCCTTTTTGGAGTCCCTTGTGTTGTGCTGGGGCCAGGCTCTCTCTCTCTCTCTCTCCTTCTCTCTCTCTGCCATGTTTCAACCATCTTTTGTTTTCTTTTCCAGCAGCTGCAGGTGGTTCCTTTATTCGGCGATATGCAGATAGAACTGGCCAGATACATTAAGACCAGTGCTCACTATGAGGAGAACAAATCCAAGTGAGTGCCTGCCATAATGTCTCTTGGCTTCTGTGTGTGTCCTGAGGGCCGTGGGGGCTGCAGCCCTGCAGGTGTGCCAGGCCTGTGCCCGTGTGTGCGTCCCTGTGGGGTGTGAGTCCGGCGTGCCAGCTCTGTGTGCCCGCGTGTCCCTCCCTGTCCCTGCATGGGGAGATGTCCTCAGATGGCCCTGGGGTGCTGCCAGCTCCCAAGCCCTGTGTAACCATCCCCTGGGAGCAGGCAGGGCTGGGAGGGGCTGGCAGGGAGGCAGGAGGAAGGAAGGGTGGCATGGGCTGGGGCAGCGCCGGGTGCGTGCGAGCTGTGTGAGTGTGAGCCGTGTCCCTGCTCTGGGGAGATTTTAATCCACACTTTGCACCCAAGGACAAAATCCTCCAGAGCATGAACACGGCACTGGATCTCTGCAGTAGCCAGGGTGTCTCCTCTAGCTCAGGCAGGGCTCATGAAGAAGGATGGCAGCCATAAGGGTTGAATCAGAGGCTGAGATGCTCTGGAAATTGATGAACTGGAAAAGACTGAATGAGGCACTAACAACTGGATGTGGCACTCAGTGCTCTGGTTTAGTTGACAGATCAGTCAAAGGCTGGACTTGATGATCTTGATGATCTTTTGCAACCTTAATGATTCTATGATTCTGGATATTGTGGGAGAAGAGCAGGAGGGGAGAGCTCAGGAGTGGCCTGGGCTCACGGGCAGTTTGCTGCTCCATCAGATGAATCCACAGACATTGTTTCAGTCACAGCAGGCACGTGAGAGGCCCCACTTGTGTTTGTAGCTTTGCATCACGCTCAGTGATTGCCAGGAGAATGTTGTTAGGTTTGGATATCCTTGGAATAAGGCTTGTGCCTTGTGAGCACAGCCTGTCTGAGCTATACCTGGCTGTAGTGGTGGGTGGCAGCCAGGCTTTCAGCAGGCAGTGGCCTTCCACCTGTGGGACTGGCTTGGGTGGAAATCTGGTTTCTCTGGTGTCTCTGAGGAGCAGCCAGGCTGGGCTGTCTCTTCAGCAGGACAGGAACTAACCTGCAGTGTCATGGCTTCTGTTTGCTCGTCCCCTTCCACCCCAGAGGGTCTGTCTTCTCTGCCTGCCAGGAGCAGTCCTCCTCCCCTGCCCTCCCAAAAACTGGTTGAAAAGTGCCCTTTAATTGTTCAGGAGAGCTTTGAAAACAGCATGGCAAAACTCCTGAGCAAAAAGTTTTCAATTAAAATTGGGGAGGAAAAAGAAGAGAAAAAAAATATGATTCGATGTAATGTGAATTTAAAGAATACTTTTGAAAACTCTTTTAAAAAAGAGAAAAATTTTCTGAAGATTTGCTCCTTTTAATCCCAAATCATTCAGAAAGCACATTTCAACGAAACATGTGTCAGCAGCATTCCTCATTTTCTCATCTCAAAACCGAGGTAGCTCATGGGCTGTTTTACCTGTGCACAATTTTAATGTCTGTCTTTGAAATCTGTCTCACCAGGTCTGTGTGCCATGCCGTACTAACCAATGTTTCTTCCTCACTCCCTTGCCTTCCCAGCAAACTGCATGGGACTCCCAGTTCTAACTCTGCCAAGGTGCTTCCATGTAATCCCCATTTCTTACTAACATTGTTTTTGTCACTTTCTCTCCCTCCTTGTCTCCGTGCAAGTGGAATTAATTGGTGTTTTTCCCGCATGGTGCTTTGTCTCTGCACTGAGGAGTAGGTTGTGTGTGGCAGGGAGGGCTGGGGCAGCCCTGGCCAGTCCTGCTACCCTGCCCATTGTCCAGTGGGCAGCACATGGAAACGGGTAAGAGCCAAACAGGGGACTGGGGGAGGATGGATTTCACAAGGGATGATGTAGCCCAGCATTTCCAAGACCTTCTACCACCACAAATACTGGGAACAAGTGCAGTTAACTGTAGGGGTATATCCATATCAGGGGCAGGTTTCTCACCTTCCTTTTGTATGGGCAGTCTAAATTGGAGAACAGGCCTATCATAAGGTGGACAATCATTTAGGGGGAAAAAAAAGTATAATCTGAACTTCTACATTGTGATGACAGAGTAAGACATGAGAATCTCACTGATAGACAATTGGTTGCACAAAACATTTTGGTGGAGCCATTCTGGTTCTATATCTGCGGCTAATACATTACAGGGAGAAAGGGAGAAAGGAGATATTAAATTAAATAGACTGGTTTGTCCCATTCCTTCATACAACAGTGCCTTTGGCTGCCTTTTTTAGGATGACATTACACACATGGTACATATGGGTGAATTCAAATGAAAATCTAATTCTGCTCATCGTTTGTACTCAGGGTTGTTCACTGAGTTGGCAGCATGAGCTAGAACCAAAAACAATGGGAGGGCTAGTTCTTTGCAGAGTTTTTCTTTGCAGGAAAAGGCAGCACAACCCAGACCTGGAGGGAGGACCTTTAAGGGGATGGTTATTCTTAGGTTTAGCAGAAAGGATGCAAACGATGCAGGCCTTTCAAGTCCATCCTTCACTGAAAGTTTGTCCCTTGGTGGCCTGGGAAATTGCCATCTCTGCCCTTGGGGTAGGTGAGCCCACATGGAGAGCAGCCTTCAGGGTGGATGGAGCAGACACATTCAGGCTGAGAGGTGAGGCCAGTGTCCCCATCCTGCTGTGTGAGACCACCTCTGGACACTCCACACACCAGAGAGACGACACGGGCTGACATTCGCCATGAGGGTGGCGTGCCTGGAGCACGTTGAAGCGCAGAGAGCAGCTGTCCCTGGGCTGTCTGAGGTCAAGCTGTGTCCTGTCCTTGACACCCTTGCTCTTTTTGCCCAGGTGGACGTGCACTCAGAGCAGCATCAGCCCCCAGTACAACATCTGTGAGCAGATGGTGCAGATCCGAGACGACCACATCCGCTTCATCTCGGAGCTCGCGCGCTACAGCAACAGCGAGGTGGGTCCAGCTGCACCCTGCAGCCAGGGCTGAGGGGCACTGCTGGAACATGGCTGGGCAGAATTTCAGAGTTTCTGTGCTGGCAGGCACTGACCCCCAAGAGAACACTGCATTTGACCTGAGGCCGTGGAGGAGGCTTCCAAAATTGAATGATAGAACTGCGATTGTGGGTGTGGAGTTTGAATGGAAGTGTGTGATATCACAGGGTGGAAAACTTAGAGGTTAAGGGTTTAGAATATAGTAATTTATAAAGCAAGATGGAGGTTTTAGGGCGGAGGCTGGTCTTTCTTCTTTGCCTTCTTCTTTACTTTCTTCTTCACCTTCTTCTTCACCTTCCTCTCCATGGGTTTGGGTGGTTTTGTGTAATTGGATAGAAAAGTCTACATTGAGGGCACGGATGGTTGGCTATTGGGTTAAAAGTAAAAATAATTTAGGTGTCATTTCTTAATTGGGCATTTTATCCTTAAAGAGCCTTGTAGAAAGAGAGACATGTCTCCATTTTTAGCTTGTTAGAGTGAAGTGCTATAGAACTCAGGGTTTGTAGGACTGTAGCATAGATAAGAACTAATAAACATCTGAGTCCTAACAAGAAATACTGTCTCACACATTTAATCCCAACCTTGGCAAAAAGAAGCAAAGAATCCACTAATGGACAAGCCTGGGACACAGCAATGTGGCAGGACCATGGTCTGTCACAGATGTACAGCGAGGAGAGGTGAAGGACATGGGTGGAACAAGCTCCTCTTGATGCAGCAATAAAAAAGCAATTTATGAAAGGCTCCTGCAGGTACAAAATCATGTCCACCAGGAGATCTACAGCGACAACTTCTGCTCCTTGACCACAGCTTCATTAAAATAACCAGGGAAAAAAAACTGGCAACTAAATGTTTATAATCAGGCATAAGTCAGAATACCAATGACTTGCAAATAGGGCTTTTCAATTACACAGACCTGTCAGTCAGGGCTTTGAGGAAAGTTCACGAAGGCATCTCTGTTCTTTTCATTACTGAATGCCAGTGCTCTCTCTGGTGCCATTGGGACTGTTTTTTGCACGTGTGATCCTCATTCATCAGTGTCAGTTTAACAAATCGTAGCATTCTCAGGCACTTCTTTTTTGGCATTTGTAAGAGCTTCTTTGAACTTTAATCAGTAGAGGATTCTCAAGGATTTCAGTAGTATTAGACCATTGAAAAGGAGGGGGAAAGTGGAATAAAAACAGTCAATTATTTGCTCAGAGGTGACAGGTCAGACCCATTTTTTTGTAGGGAATAATTTGACTGCCTGTGTAAAAAGAGCCTTGCCAAGGTCCTTTCTCCTGAGGGATAGTACATGCTTTACTCAATTCTAGCTTAGTCTTAAGGTCAGGAATTCATTTCAGGTGGGATTTGGGAGAGGAGTCTGTTGACTGAGTGAAGCCCCTGCAGCAAGCTGCTGATTGTAGCATGATGTGATTTCTTCCAGGTGGTCACTGGCTCAGGCCTGGACAGCCAGAAGTCGGATGAGGAGTACAGGGAGCTCTTTGACCTGGCTTTACGGGGGCTGCAGCTGCTGTCCAAGTGGAGTGCCCACGTCATGGAAGTGGTGAGTGCATCCCTGCATCACTGAAAGCAGTTTGGGATGAGTCTGGGAGCAACTAAAACTGTAATGCAAACAATGATGGAAATTCTTAATTTGCCAAGTTTTGACCATATCTCAACACAAGTCCATGGATATCAAATGCCTGTTATGACTGGCAGCCTCTCAGATAAAGAAAACCAATTCACTAAGTGATAATAAAGCCAAGAATGTCAAACTCTACTGATGTCTAGAGAATGTTCTCTTGGTATACGACCTATTTCAGTCTTTCTAGCCTATCTTCTTCCTCATTGCAATGTTGACATGGTCTCTTTCCATCTTCTAGTACTCTTGGAAGCTGGTTCATCCCACAGATAAATTCTGTAACAAGGATTGCCCAGGAACAGCTGAAGAGTATGAGAGAGCCACCCGGTACAACTACACCAGTGAGGAGAAGTTTGCCTTTGTGGAAGTAGGTGCCACTTGCACAAGAGTCAGAGCCAGTCCAGGCTGGTTTCCTGTCCATGTTCCTCAGGCCAGGGAAAGAGAATGGAAGGATGTTCTCACCATACTTTGCCATGTGACCCATGTTAAGGGATTAAGGGTTCCCACATCCCTTAATCTGGCCTGTAAATTGCCCCTGGCCAGTATTGGGTCTGTCATGGAGCCAGCTGATGTTGGTTTTATTTGATGTGGGGGGAACGGGAGAAGCTGCTTCCAGAAGTCACCCCTGTAGCTTCCTATGCCCAAACTGTTGTCACACAAGCCCAGAACAGGGGGCTTGCAGAGCACTGTGATCTGGAGCAAGAGCAGCAGCTGCATCCAGGAGCTGTGCAAACACAAGAGATGCTCAACCAGTCCCCAGGACCCATCAGCTCTCAGCCTGGCTGTCTGTAAACAGTGGGAACAGTCCTCTGAGCCATGCTCTGGGAGGCCCTCACCTTCCTCCTGCCTTACACAGTCCAGGGTGGTTGGGATGTTGCCTTATGGCTTCCTCCACTGTGCTGTTGGGCAGGGCAGGCTGTGCCCTGTGCAGATGCAGCTCTGTGCAAGCTGCACCCACACATGGAGCATGTGCAGTTTCCTGGGATTGTGTGGCATTAAAGATACCAAGAGATCAGGAGTAAAAACAAGGGACAGGGGCCATTTGCAAGAAACTGATGGTATAAATGCTTTCCTCAGCTTCTTGTGACCTGTAAAGCAGCTAACACCCAAAAATTAGCTGCTTGATCACCGGGCCTATGTTAGCTGAGTAGAATTAATTCAGTCCCGAATTCTCTCCATGCTGGATTTATAGCCCTCTTCACACAATGGAAAAACAGCATTTACATCTGGGTTTAACTTTTCCTTCAGGTGATTGCCATGATCAAAGGCCTGCAGGTGCTGATGGGGCGGATGGAGAGCGTCTTCAACCAGGCCATCCGCAACACCATCTACGCAGCGCTGCAGGACTTCGCCCAGGTGACCCTGAGGGAGCCTCTCCGACAGGCTGTCAGGAAGAAGAAGAATGTTCTGATCAGGTCAGTCTGTCCCTGAATGCAGTGCAAACCCCATCTATTTATTAGTGTTGTTACACTTTGTAATACACAAGCTCCGTGTATGCTCCAGTACACAAGCAGCCAACAGTCCTTGGCCAGCAGCTCCTCCAGAGGTAACTTTTGGGCATCATCCCAGCAATAGCAGCTGTGTATGATCTCACCTCAGGTACCTTTCATATGTGCACAGCCACAGGTATTTTCATCTTGAAGTAAAATCAAACTTAAGCACTGCTCTCCCTCTGCTCTGCTCCAGTGTCCTTCAGGCGATTCGGAAGACGATCTGTGACTGGGAGGGAGGTCGGGAGCCTCCAAATGATCCTTGCCTGAGAGGTGAGAAGGATCCCAAAGGTGGATTTGATATTAAAGTCCCACGACGAGCAGTAGGACCATCAAGCACCCAGGTATGTGAATGTCTGTCTCCTGTGTGGGGAATTAATGGTCTTAGAGCCATGCAGGAGTCTCCCACCCTGTGGATTAGCAGCTGTTTCCATGCTCTGTTCCACAAAGTCTTCAGGCTGTTGTGTGTTAAATGTTGCTTTGGTGCCTAATTTGTTGTATAATTCCTAAAGCCTCTTCTTTAAGGGGTTTAACTCTCTTAACTCTGCAGGATATTGGCATATGTGTGCAGAGGGTGGTCACCACCTTGGAGAAGTGTTACTTTTTTGTTACCAGAACACCAGGCCGTTTGTGATGGTGTCTGGAGAGTGGTAACTGAATGTCACCTTTTTTCCAAAGCTTTACATGGTGAGGACCATGCTGGAGTCCCTCATAGCAGACAAGAGTGGCTCAAAGAAGACTCTGAGGAGCAGCTTGGATGGGCCAATAGTCTTGGCCATTGAGGAGTTCCACAAGCAGTCCTTCTTCTTCACCCACCTTCTCAACATCAGCGGTGAGTTTATGGCAGGGGGAGGCTTGAACCCAGCCCTTGCATGCTCAGAAAGGCAAAAGCAAATCAGCTTTGCTCCTCATTGACCTAAGCATAAGATTTTCCTTGATTTTTCCCAGATGTCCTACTTCTGCCTGGTTTGGGCATGCCTCTGTGTAGTATTCATTATGTGAACAGGGCTCAGCAAGAGCAAACAGCTGCAGGTGGGAGATTATTTTCTAGGAGTGACTTTCCTTCTGTCCCAGACAAATTGAGCTACTGGACACAGAATAAGTCTTCCAGAATAACTCTTGAGCCATTCCAGTGTTCTCACTGGCCCTCTAGAGCAAAAGGGGTGATCCCTTCCTTCTTCTTGCATTACCAAGTGCTCAGGCAGTGTGGACATGGTCTGGGTTTAAAACCAGAGACATCCTAGAAAAATGTCCTGTACCCAAAAGCAAGGCTGCAGCAGCTGCCTCCTGTGCCATGCCCTCACTGCCCTCCCCAGGGGGCTAACATGGATCCTCTGTGCATTCCAGAAGCTCTGCAGCAGTGCTGTGACCTGTCCCAGCTCTGGTTCCGGGAGTTCTTCTTGGAGCTGACCATGGGCCGCCGCATCCAGTTCCCCATCGAGATGTCCATGCCCTGGATCCTCACAGACCATATTCTGGAAACCAAAGAACCCTCCATGATGGAGTAAGGGCTGGTGGGCTCTGCTGGGACCGTGCATGTGCTGGGGTTTGGGATTTTGTTCAGGAAGAAGGGGAGGCTGGTGATGAGCAGTGTTTTTGGTGTGGGAGGTAAATGGATGTTGCTTGCTCTGCTGTCACATGAATGGTGCTGTGTGAACACCTCGTTGGCAGACACAGGGGTGACTTCCTGGCACTGGCACCTCTTCATGTGTCATAAACAGCAGCTGGCAACTGTTGGGATGTGGGCAGGACACGGTGGCACTGTCACCTGCACAGATGTGTCACCAAAGGGGGTGGGCCCAGGCTAAGCCACCTCAACTTCTTTTTGTATGTGGGATAAATGATATGAGGAATTGCTGTTCTGCAAGTGGAATCATCTTCATAATGTCCTTCTCATTAGGAAAACTTGGTTGCATGGGCATTGTCAGAGCACTCTCTAGAGTGAGGGCAGGGTGAAAGCTCTTTTGAGGACTGAGAAGAAGCAAGTGTTGATTGAGCAGCTCATAATTAGCTGACTTCCAGGTTGGTTGTAGCTGCTTCCTGCAGAACCCAGGGATAAAGAGGGATTATTTGAGGGGCTGCAGGGGGTGGCAGTGATAGGCATGAAGTCAGAGAAAAGCCATTTTTTTTTACATCAGGCAGGGCACGACATGCACTGGCTGCAGTTTGTGCTGATAAGCTCCAGTGTTAATTTTAGATGTGGTCTGTGTTCTTGCCCTCAGGTATGTGCTGTACCCCCTGGACCTCTACAATGACAGTGCATACTATGCTTTGACCAAGTTCAAAAAGCAGTTCCTGTATGATGAAATTGAAGCTGAAGTAAGTTCTCTTCATCATTATTGTATGGAAAAAGCTCACAGGGGTCACACTGCCCTGTTTGACCCAGCAGTTCATTAGAGGCACCTTTCTCCTGAAAGAAATATTCCATCAGACTGAGAAGTTTTCAAGAAGATCAGCATTTCCAGAGACCCTACAGACTCTCCTGATTAAGGGCTTCAGCTCAGCTGTACCTGTAGGGAGCCATGGAAGCCAAAAGCTGTCAAACACTGGGGACATGGCAGAGTCTGATGAGCAGAGGGTTTGAGACATCAGAGGAAAATGAGAAATTCCCTGAGAGGGAAGGGTGATTGAGGGTGGGGGACCAGGACCTGTAAGAACATGCAGAAACTATAAAGAGAGAAATGTAACTGCAATTTTCTGCTTACCTTTGGCAATGTGAGAAGTGCAGCGTGGTTTTAAGATAGTGTGACCTTTAATATATGTTTGTATTAAATGAAGGATCTGTGTTGGGTTGTATTGATCTTGCATGCGTAGGAAGGAGCTGTTCTGTGCTGGTGACACCCTCACCAAGTCTTGTTTTTTCTCCCCCAGGTGAATTTGTGCTTTGATCAATTTGTGTACAAGCTGGCAGATCAGATCTTTGCCTATTACAAAGCAATGGCTGGCAGGTAGGAGAGCCTGACTGCTGATGGTGACTGATGATATCACTGCATCCAAATTGCTGTTAACCAAAAGATTTCCCTCAGGGAGCAGCCACAGCAAGGAGAGACAACATAGATCATCCCTGTCCCCCAGAGCTGGCTGTCCATGCCAGACCGATGTAGATGGGGAAAATTAATTAAGGAGACACAGTTAAAAGTGAAAAAATAATTGGCATCCGGAGTAGCAGTCAGAGTACAGTTTGTGAGAGCTACAGAAAAGCAAACTGAGCTTATTACAGGCATGTCCTTGCTTGACTTCTGCTTCTGTACCAGGCAGAGGACTGGAAGCCTCCCATCTCTACAAAACAGGAATATGCACTTGTCCTCACCCTAGTAAAGCAGCAGGACTTGTTCTCCCCTTTGGGGAGATAGAATCTTTGTGGCATATCCTCCTTACCAATTTAAAGGGCATGGATGAAATCTAGTGAGAGTCTTCTTCTCATGGCCCCAAAGGTGAACCAAGTCTTACATGTGACTGCAAGTTCTGTCTCTAGGTCATATTTGGCCTTAGAGAAGGAGGACAATCACCATCACCAACCAAATGTTCCCACAGCAGATCTTCAAGGAAGGAGCACTCCAGGGGAAGCACCCAGTACCTGGCCCTGATATCTTTCAGCACTTTTTTTTATCTTTTTGAATGTTTTAGCCACAAAAGACAAGCAGGGAAGTCCCCAGAGAACAACTCCTGCTCTGTCATTTAGTGTGCAGAGATTTCTTGGAATTCAGAGCCAAGATTAAAAGGGCTAAAACAACTCTGGAAAGACTCATAGAGAAGCTGATAGTGTAGTTTCTATTTTCCTGACGCTGCTTCCCTTTTTCAGTGTTTTACTGGACAAACGTTTCCGGGCTGAGTGCAAGAATTACGGGGTGATCATTCCATACCCACCATCCAACCGCTACGAAACGCTGCTCAAGCAGAGGCACGTCCAGGTACAGTGCAAGCAGCAGGCTCCAGTACTCATCACTCCTGGTCTGTTTTCCTTTTGGTGGTGGAGGGCATCCTAGCTGAGATCAGCTCTGGGCTGAGAAGGGTTGAATCTGTTTGTGACACAAAAATGAGTTATGCTCCACATTTCCCTCGTTCCTTCTTAAGTAATCTACACTCAACCAAGGCACTTGCACCACCACTTTCACATTTAAGCAGATTTTGAGGTTTGGTTTTAATTTGTGTGTGGAGTAAAAAATGAAATACCTTTTCCCCATCAATATATAACATGCAAATCTTTTCTTTTGCCAGTTGCTGGGCAGATCAATCGACCTGAACAGGCTCATTACCCAGCGCATCTCTGCAGCCATGTACAAATCATTGGACCAGGCCATCAGCCGCTTCGAGAGCGAGGACCTGACATCCATCGTGGTAAGAACTTCTATTGACTCTGAGTATGAGCAGCGAGACTAATACACTGCTGGGGATGCACAGTCAACTGTCTGCTGCTTTGAGTTCCCCTGCAGTAGGTTTCATCCAATCATGTATCTTCCTTTATGCTGCTCAGTCTTTACTGTTTCTGTTTATGCAGCTTTAATTGCATTATTATCAGACCATTAAGTCTCTGTGTAAATCATAAGGGACAGCAGTTAGACTTTGCAGAGCTCATATAAGAGAGTCCTGTAAACTGGGGGAAGAAAATGTTGCTTTAATTCCCATCTGGATGAAGGTGGCTGTGATATTGTTCATATGTGTACAGGATTTTCTGTCTTTGATATGATACAGGAGCATCAGAGTCAAGCAGTGTAAAATTACCAGTTTCCACCTTTGGAGGATTCTGAGGTGAAAGCCAGCCAGTGCTCAGTGGGGAACAAATTAATTTTGCTTCCTGCAGCTTCACAAAGTACTGGACCAGGACCCCCTTGAGTGGAAGTGCAATTGGCCTTGGCGGCTGAGTTAAATTGATGTCTTTAGTTCTGCGTGCGTGTGGATAAAAAACCATTCCCCTGGCAATTAAATCAGCTGTTTCTGTTGCATTTTCTGCTGCTTTATGTGCTGCAGGAGCTGGAGTGGCTCTTGGAAATCAATCGCCTGACCCACAGGCTGCTGTGCAAGCACATGACTCTGGACAGCTTCGATGCCATGTTCCGCGAGGCCAACCACAACGTGTCCGCACCCTATGGGCGCATCACCCTGCACGTCTTCTGGGAGCTCAACTTCGACTTCCTGCCCAACTACTGCTACAATGGATCCACCAACAGGTGAGGAGGGACAGCAAGGCCACCTGGAGACCCTGCTTTTCTTTCCAGAACGTCAAACCTGCTACTTAGAATTGATGTGTATTGTGGAGAGGTTTGTGCTCCCTGTGGGATGCAACAGTTACTCTTAAAATGAATTTGAAACCCACCATCTTCCTTTGGTCTTGAAAATGTTAGTAACAAATTCAAGCAGCAGTTAGACAGTAATTGAAGTGGCTGAGGGTTGGTTAGCTCCGCACGAGCTGCTCAGATATTGTTTTCTTGCCTGCCAATAATGAGACAAAATCTCTGTTTTGGTAAGTTTTACACCACCAATAGATTGTGGCAGGATTTTGCATTCCTGTTGGTGTAGCTCAAGTGATGAATTGTAACTAGCCTGCAACTGCAGGTCATCCCAGACCATGCAGTGTCAGTTGTCCAGGCTCTGACCACCTCCCTCCCCATCTCCCTTGCCTGCTGCAGGTTTGTGAGGACAGCCATCCCCTTCACACAGGAGCCCCAGCGGGACAAGCCAGCCAACGTCCAGCCCTATTACCTCTACGGGTCCAAGGTCAGTAAATGAGCCACAACAGCCAGAGGGGTGGGGGTTGGAAATATTTATTTAGGAAGAGAAAGAAATGCAAGGACTGGTTCATTTACAGAGTGGTGGGTGTGAATGAGCAGGGTCACATTGCTGTGTGCAGCCAAACAGACATGCAAGAAGCAGATTCATGTGCTGTTGCTGTTGTTTTTTCACATTCTTCTCCATAAAATGCCCGTGTTAGGGGGTGTCAGCACTGCTCTTGCTTGGTGTTGGCACTGAGACTGAATCAAATCCATCTAAATGCACAGGCAAGTGAGCAAGTTGGTGCTCTGATGCAGTGATGCTCCCTAAGGAAGGTACCACTTCAGAAATCCCATTTTCTGTTCAAAATGGGAATTACTAAAATACTTGTGTGTGCACTACTTAATACTGACAAAAAGCTTTTTTCTCAGGCTGCAATGACTGTTTATGCAGGCATTACAAAGGCTTGGTCTGTGATGATAGTGGAGGGGCACTCAAGTGTGAAACTACTTGAGTGAAGTATATTTCTTATGCACATTGATTGATGACTCTGAGGTGAACCTACAGCATTGATGCACATGAGCTAATGACACTACAGTCTGCCAAGCCTGGCTGTTCCCAGAGTGCTGACTTGGTTTCTTTTTTAAAAATCTTCAGCAAATGAGAGTATTTTTGTCACTTGACAAAAATCTTTCTCCCTGTGACCAATGTCTATGCCTCGTGTTCTACCCTGGGACAGACAGCTGCCATGGACACACAGACAGTCCTCTTGGCAAGAGCTGGGGAAGAGCAGGACAAACCAAACCTCCAAGCAAGATTTTGTTTCCTTTTGCTTTCATTGAAGGCCATGCTGTGGCAGGATGGCCCTTTTATCATCGCTGTTTTTATAGGAAAAAAAGCAGTGAGGGGAGTTGTACGGGCTCTCCTTCACGAAACTGGAGCTCCTCATCAGCACAGTGGTCATGGGCACTTCCAGGAGCTCCTCTCTCAGTCCATCACTCAGTGGCTCCTCTGGTGAGCCACTTCCTTCCCCCACTTCTTCAGAGCTGCTGTCGGGGTGCTTCAGCCTGGCAGCCCAGTGGCAGCGTGCAGACCAGAACTGCAGGCAGCCGTAGGCCAGCAGGGCGAGGAAGCAGAGGAGCAGGAGGCTGCTCACCATCCACATGGACGTGGTGGGCTCGTGCTTGGAGCCGCCGAAAACCAGGGGGATTTTGTCCAGCGTGTGGAAGGTGGTGCAGTGGTTGCTGGAGGGGTAGGAGTTCTTGCAGGTGATGCAGAGCACGTAGATGGTGGAGGGCGTGAGGCGGTGCAGCACCAGGGAGCTGAGCGGGTGCGGCACGCGCTCCTCGCGGTGGAAGTTCTGCCGCAGGTAGCCGGCGAAGACGCTGTTCCAGTTGGGGCGGTACATGACGTGGTAGTAGTTCTCTGGGCAGGGGCTGCTCATGGCCCAGGACACAGTGGCACTGGTGTAAGTGATGTTGTGCACCTCGATGTTCATCGTGCCCCTGAAAGCAGAGGCAGGGAGGGAGAGGCTCAGGTTTCTGATTCGTGTCAGGGCTCAAAGGACGCTGACATCGATGAAGTCTTTCCTTACTCTCCCTTGGATTGGACTCAAAACTATCCTACCTCACTTAGGTTACATGCTAAAATTACAAAAGAAAAATCCTGCTGTTGCCCAGACTACTGTATCACTCTGCTTCATAACAAAAACATCCAGTTGGAGCACAGGGTATACTTTTTGCTCCAGTTGTATTTATTAAAAAATCTCTGTGACTGCTTGTCTGTATCAGAAGCTATTTTAGCTTTTTGATTCCCACAAAATAAAAGTGATACTGCAAATGTGATTAGCATAAAGTGATTATTAACTATTAAAGCTATCTTAGCTTTTTGTTTCCCACAAAATAAAAATGATACTGCAAGTGTGATTAGCATAAAGGGATGATTAAACTAGCTCCAGCTTGCCTTGTGAAGCTGCCAATCAAAAGATATTTTGATTTTACACATAAATGCCATTTAGAAGGCTCCATAATGGTTAATTCACTGTTTTAAGTTGTCACTGCATGTTCTGTACCTTCCTTGCTTAATAAAGTATAAACTCTTTCTATTCCTGCAGCATCTCACACTGCAATATCAGCATCTTAAATGTGAAATCTGTAGGTTGGTGAAATAGAAAAGCAGTGCCTTTAGGGAAACACAAATATATGAATAGTAAGAACAAAGACAGAAAAAAGACACTGCCCGCCTAAAAAATTTAAACATTTAAACTGATTTGAACCAGAGCCAGTGAGTAGTAGATGATGATCCCTGATGGTACAATGTCCTGTAGTTTTTGGATACTCTCTGGGCTGTGTTGCTGTTTAGTAACAGCCACAAATTACTTGAGCACATCACTCCTTTAGATCCCCAAAGTGGTCTCTGAGCCTTGCTGCAGGGTTCTCTCTCCTGGCCAGAGAGTGCTCAGAGCAGCCCCACCATTCAATTGAGCTGGTTTACTCATTCCTTTTTCCTCTCTCTCTAACAATAACTAACTTTCCTTTCATTCACTCTAGAATAAGCTCATTCTAATGACTGCTAATCTGTCCTTACACGAGGCTGCACATGCCCATGCTGAGCCCTCCCAGAGCCAGCACTTACCTCCAGCCAGGTCCTCGGTGGTGACAGAGGTGACAGGTCTGGTGACAGAGTGGCCTCAGTGCCTTGCCAGCACTCACCTCCCTCCTGCCTCTGCTAAATCCCTTCCCTGAACTCCCTCGTTTATACCCAGCTCGGGCTCCGTCATCTCTCACCATGGCAACCAATAGGAAAGGATGGGCAGGCATCTCCCAGTGATTTGGGGATGTTATCCCTAAAAGCTGCTGCCTGGGAGAAGTCTGTGTCTCCAAGGCAAGAAAAAACAAGCCAGGTAGATTTTTTGCTGGCTTATTTGGGTTTTATTTTTTCACTGTAACCACAGTCCCCCACAAGAGCATCACTGATCCCCAGCAGGCTCTGGGGTTACAGACACATGGTGTGAAATCTGGGATCCTGACCTGTGGGTCCCATTGCCTCAGACTCTGTCTTTAATTCTGGGATTTCTTGCACACTTAAACTACTGATTTAAGTTAGAGCCATCAGCAGTACATTTTGATCCCTGATGGCACTGCAATTTCCAATAGCCTTTTAATATTTTCTAAACTGTGTAATGGGAGTGGGAATTGGCTTTTCAAAGACTTTCACCTCCTGCTGAACTGCATGGGATTAAGACCTGCTCTTCTTTGAATGCCTCTGATTTACAGAGAGCTTGGGGATGTGCCCTGTCAGTCTGGGCAGGAGGGAGAGGCAAAGGCAGTGCCTGTGCTGTTCAGGGGAGCAGGTTGAGCCTGTGGCCAGGAGGGGACAGATGGGCCTGGTAGGGAGAGGCTCTGAACAAGTGACTTGCTCCTCTCTAAAGCCAAAATGTGCTGGAGAGGAACTTTCCCAGAAATGTTGATGCTGATTCTGGAGTTACTCATTCCACTTTCTAAGACACTCTCAGCTGTTGCACTGAAATTAGGTTGGCTGGGAGCCCTGACTTGTCTTGGGCTGTGTGCAAGTTCTTTTTTTGTCTCTGAGTATATTGCTCTTTCATTAGCTCTTCATTTTTCCAAGGGAATTCTGTAACTATCAGTACTATCTGTTATCTCTCTTTCTGTTCAGTTTTATCAGATAAAACTCTCCCTGCCTTTCCTCAGATGAGCTCAGACAGGTCTGGGTGATGGCCGACAGCAAGGTCACAGACATGGAAATAGAACTGGGGTTTGATTTGCTCCATTTGTTGCTAAGGTTCTCCAGAGCATTGCTGGTCACCTCCTGCTGCTCCTAAAGCAGCCCTGAGGCCTTGCCCACGTGCTCACAATTACAGATGGCTGTCCCTGAGACCTGGGTGCAGGGTGAGCTCTGTGGGACACTGGGAGCTCTGCCCCATGCTACAAATCCCAGCCTCCCATCCCCAAAACCTGCCCTTTTGGCCCCAAACCAAGCATGGGCAAACCTCCCCAGTGTCTCCAGCAGCTGCTGCTCGCAGGAAGTGTCAGGGTCAGGCTTTGCTTTGGTCCTCTGAGGGGTCAGAAGTGGCCACTGAGCACGGGGGAGGGAGCTGTGCTGTGCTGTGCAGCCAGCTTGTGCCTTCAGCTGCTTTGTCTTAAAATACCCACTGGTGTCATTTTTGACATCCTACAGTCTCTACCCCAAGCTGTGTATCTCACCCTTAAATGGAGTTATATTTTTAATTGCTGGCAGAGCATTATTATTAGACACAAGCCTGCTGTTAGTGCACTGGGTGGCTCTGCAGAGAGCTCCAGGAACCCACCTCATCCTGCAGACAGGCAGGCGTGAATCATCCTGCTCATCTGCAGCCAGTGCACATCCTAAAAGGTCTCTTCTCCCAGTCAGGCTAATTGCTGAGACCCCCACTCAAGGGAGGAGCTGGCTGGGAGCTGCTCTCCAGCCCCTTTATCCCACTGAGGAGTGAGGGAGTGCTGCCAGGTGGGGGCTGCTGGCTGCCTGTACAGCCAAATGTCAGCCCTGCTGTGGGAAAATCCTGACCAGCTGCACCACAGCTGGTACCAGGGGTGGTAGCCCATCCCAGGGGAACAAGGCACATGCAGACAGGAGTCCCCTGGCCATGGAATAGCAAAGACCCATCCAGAAATTAATGTGGATTCATGAGCCCACTGAAATAAGGATTTTTTTATTCTCCCAAGCTAGGATGAGCTGGTGTATCAGGGTGCATAACCAGTGGCTTTGGGTCTGTCTCTGATTTTTAAAGACTTGGTTATCTGAGGATGCAGACAGAAGCCTAATTGAGGTGCTCAGTTCTCTTAAGAGCTGGTATCCAAGGAGCTTTGGAAGTAGGCTTCTGTCTGCCTAAATAATTCTTAACTCTGACACATACCCACATACTCAGGGCCCTTTTTTTTTTCTTTAAGTTTTGATGGGAGAGAAAGGTCTTGCTTATTGTGAATGAGCCTCCAAGGCAGTCTTCCTGCACTTAATATTGTGTTTCAGGGCTATTTGCACCTACTGGGAACAAGAGGTGAAATTACATTTCACAGAAAATAGGGGACTCTCTAGCTGAGCCTTATTTCTGCTGGTTCAAAGAGCACTTAGGAATTACAGCAGGTAACAACCTGCTGGACCAGGTCTGTAGGGCTGTGACAAAATGAGGGAGAATTAATTGATTAAAGTAACTGACAAGTCTGTAAAAGCGTGGTCAGTACACTGGTGAAATTCTGTACCTGAGAGCAAAAGAAAATACTTTTCCAATTTTTGGCCAATGGCTTTGTAACCCATTAGCAGCTCAGATGAAGTGTTAAAAGTAAACCTTGTGGAGTGAGTCAGGAGTGGAGGCTGACAGGAGCCTCCAGCTGGGGCTGTTGCAGCAGTGGTGGAGCAAAGACAACATTTTGCCCTGTTCTGGTACCCCAGGCCTTGCTCCCTTTCACCCAAACCTCCTCAGTGCCCTCATCCCATCACTCCCTTGGCTCCATTACTGGCAGGAAAGGATCCCTGGAGAATATGTCTGCATTATCCACAGGAAGGCATTTGGGATTCAGTCTAATTTGTTTCCTTATCTTTGTTTTACCTGTAGGTAAGCATGAGCCCAGGGTTAATCTGTGTTTTGCTGGAAGGGCACTGTGTGCCAGGATCTTTTCCAGGATGGCTTTTTTGCTGTTCCCTGAGGCTGAAGTGGAGATGTCAGGGGAGGAGAGTGCAGCCCCTCTGCTGGGCTGAGTTGTGATGCCAACACTTCCATTGCAGAGCCCTCTCTGAGCATGTGGTGTCTCAGCTAAATCTGATTCTCAGTACTTCTCTGCAGAGCACACAAGTGAATTAATTCCCCCTACTTCTCTTTGCCTCACACCAAATGGATCCTGTAAATGTTCCAGTAATGAAATGTTGCAGCAATTTCCATGTTTCCAAGATGACACTGATAGAGTACATTCCTGGAAATCACTTTCTGTTCTCTGCTGCTAAGAATTTTTGGGGGCAATGTCCTGGGCACCATTCTCCCCAGACCAGTGTCAAGTTATTATCCTTCACACAGACCCATGGGATTTCTGTTAAGTAGAGGCTGTAAAGCCTCTGATGTAAAGCTTTGCAGGATGCAAAAAGGATCTTTTCTGTGTCACTTCCATCTGCCCTTAAACTCAGCTGCCTCAGTTCCTGCTTTTCTTGATAAGCCTCATTTAAAGCAAGTGCTCATAGGGGAAAAAAAAATCTGTCTGCTTAAATGTATGTAAAACTTTTCATTTTAGTGGGGAACAATTTGATTTTGAAGAGGCAAAGGGCCACTGAACTGAAATACTTGATTGGGAGTGTATGAGAGAGTAAATTACCTTGGAAATGGAAGTGGTGTTGCTACATAGGAGGGTAATAAAACCTTGTGACATGGCAGTGTTGAGGTTAGAGTATATCTGAGCACAGAGGAAGAAAAGCAATCTCTTCTCCTACAAGAAGCACAAGTGGGAATGGCCATCAGTATTATTTCTTCTCCTCCTCCTTAAAATTTGTAGTGATGGAACATAATACTGTGATAAGAGCATTACAAGTCTGGTGAAGAACTACAGGTCCTGTAACTGTCACCAATTCCAATTTGCAGCCTCTCAACATCGCCTACAGCCACATCTACAGCTCCTACCGCAACTTCGTGGGGCCGCCGCATTTCAAGACCATCTGTCGGCTCCTGGGCTACCAGGGCATTGCTGTGGTCATGGAGGAGCTGCTGAAGATTGTCAAGAGCCTGGTAATTCTGAGCCTGGCCCTGGTGATGGAGAAAGCCCAAAGCTTGGATGGGGGCAGGCAGTGTGGGCGTTGGGATCGGGTTGTTGGCATCGGGGCACCGTCGTGTGTCTTGATCCACGCTGGAACACTTGGAGCCATGGGCTGATTGGAATCCCAGTGATTCCTGTGGGGTGGTGGAGTGTCTCAGCAGGATCAGACAGCACTCAGCACAAAGATTTTATGGTTGACTAAATGGAATTTAGTGCATTATCTCATGCAATGTATCCACAGGGTGCAGGTGTGTAACTCCAAATGACAGCGAGGGCTTTAAGCTAAGCAGTGTGCTCTGCTCTAATCCATGTGTGTCCAAAACATCTGATCTGCAGAAACTTGCTCTACATGAATGTAAATTCTTTATTAAACTCTTGAGTATCCAGGGGTCATTCCTCAGGTGGAAGGAGCATTTCCTGTGCTAGGGAGTGAGTCCTTTGGCAGCTCTGGTGAAATGCTTTTTGGGTTTAAGCACAAGTCCAGCTGCATCTAAGACTAAGCCTTGTTTTAGATTTCAGCTGCAAACAATGCAAACACAGCAAGCTGTATTTTGAAGTAAAAAATCCATGCAGCTGGGATTTATTCTTTGGAGGAAGCTGTAAAAGCACTCTGACTCCATACACTTGGGCTGAATTTCATATTTGAGCAAAATCCAAATTAAGCAAGTTCTTCTCAGACTCCAGCTGAAGTTTCATCCTGTGCTGTCAGATGTGGACCCATGCACAACCAGCCTCTTTCAAAACCAGTGCCAGGAGACCTGGCATTCCAGTTTAACCTCCCTTTGTCTCCAACAGCTCCAAGGCACCATCCTGCAGTATGTGAAGACTCTGATTGAAGTAATGCCCAAGATCTGCCGCTTGCCAAGACATGAATATGGCTCTCCAGGTGGGTGCTGCTGGTAGGATCCTTCAGCAGGAGCTCAGCCACGTGTTGCTGCAGCATTTACTCAGGCCCACACTGATGGTTAATCCAGGCTGGGCACCTGTCCTGCCAGTGCCACTTGCAGCCAGGTTTGCTGGGACACTTTCAGCTGCTCTGCTGTTGACACTGGAACATGTGTAGGAAACCTTTCCAGGCAATCTCCTGCTGGAAATTTCCTTTGGAACACATAGATGGCTGATAAGAGAATGTCTTCTGGTAGCCTCTCTTATGTTTTCAGGATTCTGTAAGCTTTTGTGAGTTCACTGGTATTTTTTAAATGCTCTGTTTAGTTGGTGAAGAGATTTTTTTGCAGCATGGCTGCAGTCAAAAACTGTGACTGCTGTATATGAGCCAGCACCAAGTCATCCATCACAGTCTGGAACCTCTTTCCTCCTCTGATGAAGAAATCCAGGGAGTTTAAATGACTTACTCCCTATTTCCCAAGGCTTACTGAAAGCAGGATAAGACACTGCCTGTTAGTTCTTCCCAATGCCAGTCTCTGTGTGTCCATTTAGCAACTGCAGTTTGTGATTAAGGAAATACCAGACACTGATCATCTTTTCATCCAAATTACCAGGAAGTGATTCCAATCTCTTTCTGACTGTCCTTCCTTCTCTTTTAAGGAATCCTGGAGTTTTTCCACCACCAGCTGAAAGACATCATTGAGTATGCAGAGCTGAAGACTGATGTGTTCCAGAGCCTCAGAGAAGTGGGCAATGCCATTCTCTTCTGCCTCCTTATTGAGCAGGCTTTGGTAAGGCAAAACCCCCACACCAACATCGTACCTGAGATTTCCAGCTCAAGAGTAGAAGTGCAAGTGGGTTCTCCAGCAGAAGAGCTTGGGAAGTGTTACTTTCCAGCTTCTCATGTTCTCAGGGTCTCTCTGGGGCTGTGTTATTGGAGTCTTTGGGCATGTCCATGGGGATGTTGTGTGTTGGCACTGGGTCAGGCCTCTGGGATGGCTGAATCTGAATACTGGAAGATCCAGATTTCATTCTTGGACTTCAAGCTGCCCCTTGTTTGTCCTGCTTAGAAATAAAACCAACTGGAGTTAATTTCTAGATTGTAAGCTCTCTGGGGCAGGGCTCAATACTTTTTTATATACATATTTGTACAGTGAGAAGTAGATTTGATCCCTCTGCTCTCTTGGGGTGCCAGTGCAATGGAAACAACCTGGTTGATTGTAATGGTGGAATGGATAAAGCAGTCCAACAGGAAGGAAATCTGCTGATGATATATGTCCTAGGACATCTTCACTGAAAATTTGGCTGGAGTAACAACTTGGTATTGCCCCCTTCACTGGAGTTTTAAACATGCACAAGTCTCTCAGCTCATGTGATGCCCTTACTAGTGTGGGGCAAAGGCTGTGGCTGAGTGCCACTCATCTTTTTAGCTCCTAGTTTTTCACATAACACATTTACCAAGCAATGAATTTATTTCATAATTTAGCCCAGAGCCAACTGAGGAGTGCTCAACAACACAACTGTACATTAAATCTGCATACTGTGTCATAATGGTTTGGGCAGGGTTGTTTCGGATTTTCCAGAAATATTTCAAAATTACTTCCCTAGCATAAGACAGAGAATTTCTAAGCAAAACCAGGAGTTTTGTTCAGAGCAAAGTCATAAGAAAGTTCAAAGGTTCCAAGTTTTATCTGGTCATAGAGCACAGAGAAAACTAAAAGTCTCTGCATGTCCTCAAAGTGGATATTTCTGCCCTTTCTTTTGCATTTTAACTCCAGATCTAGAGACTTTTAATTCTTGGTGTAGTGTATCAAACACATTCAGTGAGCAGTGGTTGCATAAGATGAATACAAGAGATGTGTATCACCCAGCAGCTTGGCTGTTATAGAATTTTATAGAATGACCAGAGTTCCCAACTTTACTCTGGCAGTTTCTGTTCTTTTTGTGGCTTTGTCAGTGCTTCCTGCTGTTCCCAGTGTTGGGTTTTCTGCTGGATGTACTGCATTTGCCTTTCCTATCACATCTTTAATGGGACACTCAAGGGACATGGTGATTTCTTTAGAAATCCTTCATTTCAATGCAGAAATGTTCCTTCAGTCCCAAGAACTGTACATCAGCAGTGTACTGGCATTTTAGAATAGCAGAAAATAAAGATGATGGGAATTTGGGGTTCCTTTAAGGAAGGCTGCCCACCAAAGTCCACATCTGCCTACTTTCTATGCCAGACAAAGTCTCTCCCTCTTGGATCCTTGTGTTTTTCCTTGCAGTAATAGGCTTGGAATACAAAGCCATTTTGCATGCAGTGGGCACTGGTTCCCACTTGCTGGAGGATGTCAGACGCACAGAGCCATCACAGAACAAGATTTTCCCTCTAATGGAGCTCTTGTGCAGCAGGAGGAATTGCTTTTATACTGCAATTACCTTCAGAGCTGTCTGAGTGATCTAAGGCTGGTGGTATTTGCTGGCAAAAATGGCTCTGATGCAGATGTCCAGTCTGCTGCATTTTACCCCCTTTTTATTGTTTAAGTTTGAGGAATGAGGGGTTGCTTGGGATGAAATTTCTAAGCAGAGTTTGTGCTCTGGTTAATGGGCCTTGGGGAAGAGGTCTGTTAATAACATGACTCATTTTGGGACAGATATGAGGTGAATGCAGGCTGCAAATGGCTGAAAATGCTCACTGTATTAGAGGAAAACAGCAGTGGAAGAACATTCACCCAGGAATGAGCAGTGTTTTGCAAACAAAATGGCCAAGGTGGCAGGCCCACTCCGTTAGCATCAGCACCTCTGTGCCCGTGGAGGGGCCCCAGACTGTTCCTGTCCCTCCAGCACTGTGTCACAAACTGCACTCCCACAAACTTGCTCTCATCCCAGCATCCATGCGCCAGTGCAGCCTCCTGCAGCTCCATGCTCCACTGTCCTGCTGGCTGGAAGGGTGCTGTGCACCCCTGCATCCCAAACAGGCCCAGCCCAGTCATTCCATGCGGGCCCGGGTTCCTCCTGCTGCGCTCTCATGATCTGCTTCCGAGTGTGTCCCCATCTCTCCGGTGAGCTCAGAACTGAAAGCATGTCCTGGGAGAGGCTTTGGCAGGAGCAGGCTGGTGCCTTGTCGTGACACGATGCCTCTGTGTTGAACAGCTTTGGTTTCCTCGCTGCTGTTTCCCATTGCAGACTCGTGTACAATGTACTGTCGGCCATCGCTCCTCAGTCTCCACCTGCCTATTTCTAGGTTTCTCCTCCTTGTGCATCTGTGTTTGGGATTATTTTTTTCTCAAGTGCATTGGCATGCATCCCCTAAGGTGGCATCTCATGGTGTTATTCCTCTCTGGACTTCTGTTTTATTCTTCTTGGTGCCTGCACCACTGGGATTCTGGTAGCCCTGGCTGAGAACACCACACCAACAACCAAATAATTTCAGAGCAGTTATGATGTGCCTATTTGCAGAAGAGCCACATGTCAGTATATTTTTCATGTACACTTCCTAAAATAACTCAGCCAAAGGATAATTTCCACTTGGGCACTCTCTTAAAGAACAGGCTGCAGGAGTTCATTCAGGGCAAGATGAAATGGAAACTTCCATATTCTTTATCCCCTCTTACTTTCAGGGCTAGTAAGTAGGACAGAAAATCAGTGTAAAGGTCTAACCTTATACAGGCAGGAAGTAACTTATTTGAGTTAGGGAAACTTCCTGACTGAAGCTGAAGTGTTACTTCCAGTTTTAGATCATTTCAGTTCAAACACTGGAGTTACTCCTGAGCTGGGTTGGATCTGAATAGGTGCTGTAGGTGTGAAGTGTTGTAGTGTTGCCCAGGCCCCTGAGCCATTCACTCTTCCCCATAGGTATTTTTTAACTTACTTTATCTTTCTTTCTTCCTGCCTCAGTCCCAGGAAGAAGTTTGTGATTTGCTGCATGCTGCTCCCTTCCAAAATATTTTGCCCAGGGTCTACATCAAAGGTAAGAAGCTGAGAGGGAAGCAGTGGGCAGACTCAGAGGTGTCTGCCCAGAGGCTGTTTTCTCTCTCATCTCTGCTGAGGATTAGCTCTGACCCTGCTTCCCCCTCCAAACAGATCAGTGGATACAGCCAAACGTCAGGTGCAAACAAAAGCCAGGGGTGCATTACCTGTAGCATAGTTACAACCTGAAACCTCAGTCAGCTCGGGGGTTCCCTTGAGGTTTGGAAGCCATTTCACAGCCTCTTTGGAGAGTGGCAGCATGAAATGTCCATCTCAACAGGAGTGCTCGGTAGCAGGGCCGTGCTTTGGACATGTGTGATAAAGCTGCTGCTGAGACTGCACTGCCCATCCCTCCCTCCTGTGCATCACTGGCCCCTCATTGCTGTGGTTTGGCTCCCTGATCCCACAGTCTCCTCGGATGGTTGTGGGGGGCAGCTCTGAGCAAACTCTTGCGGGTCTCCACTTCCTCCTCTCATTTCACTGTTTGCTGCTCGCTTGACAGAAGGAGAACGCTTGGAGGTGCGCATGAAGCGTCTCGAAGCCAAGTATGCCCCACTCCACCTGGTTCCCCTAATAGAGAGGCTGGGCACTCCGCAGGTAAGGATTGCATTGGAAGGGATGGCTGTTGGAAACTCGTAGCAGTCCCCACATGGCCTGCTTGGCCTTGGGAAAAGTGATCCTTTTTTTTTTTTTTTAATTGATTGATTGATTTTTCCCACAAAACATCAATTGGATGAGCAAATCCGAATCCTTGCCCGAGCAAACGCTCTGAAGGGAAATTGGTCAGGGACCACACACAATTTGTGTGTTGCTGCCTCCAGTCAGGAGAGCTGGCAGGGAGCTGTAAGGCAAGTGTGCTAGAAGCCAGTTCTGAATCAGAACAACTCCAGAAACCTCTTCATCTCCACTTTAAAAAGATGGAGAATTGCTGGAGTGGTTTGAGGAGAATCTTTGCAGGACTGTCCCAACAATCAATTGCCATCACTTTTGGGGATCCCATTTTAGGACTGCAGTGGGGTCCATTTAAGCTCATCCCTGTCAAGGAATTCATCTGAGAATGGTTTCCCTCCTAGCACATGCTTAGAGCTTCAGCACATGCTTAAAATTACGGCTCCATTTAAGTATCTTCTTGCCGTGGGTCTCAGCTTGGGAAAGATCTCTTGTGCAGAACCTCAGTACTGTTTAAAATATCTCCCTAGACTGATCAGTGTAATGGGCAAAATTTGAGCTCCATTGATAGAAATTATCAAACTTCAAGTGCCCATTTACTTGGGGTTGATGGGATAAAAATCTTTCAAGTATCAAATGAATCAACACCCTTTTCCTGTAATGTACTGATGAGGGAATGGAAAGAACACTCAGCTGGTGTAGGAGGTGACAGATCTATGGCAGGCAGAAAGTGGTTGATTTTTTTTCCTGTATTTTTTTCTCATGGATCAAGGACATTTTGAACTTTGCATCATTGGAAATCATCTGAAATAGAGAAATTGGCTGGATAACTGAGGACTTTATCTTACTCTGTAGACACTTCCTTTTAAAGGAGACACTCGAGAAAAACAATTCACCTCTGTGTTTTCGTGTCTTTGTGTTGGTCTTTCTATCTCTCCTTCTTTCCATGCAAAATCATCATTGAATTCTGCTATTAGAGTCCACTCGTTGCTTATCTCTGCTGTAGTTACAATGGTGATGAAAACAAAAGATATTTCATGTCCCACTAAAAAGTTATTTTTCTGTAAACTGTTCCCATATTCATCACACAGGTACAGTTGGGTACCAGATTTTTTTTTTTTTTTAGCTCAAATGTAAATGAACACAAGAATTGCTTTCTATAGGTGCCTCCATAGCTTCTAAGCTTGCTCCTTTTATGCAGTTTTGGACATGCATTTTGGAAATGCAGTTTTGGACACAGACCATACAGGATTTTTTCCTACAGAATGCATAAATGCCTTGTAACAATTGTCCAGAATCTAAGCTGACATTGCCTGCTCAAAGCCTCTCCCAAAAGGTGGCCCCATGCATATTATAGTGGGGATCTATGGGGTTTTGCAGGTTTTGGGTAGGGTTCTGGCAAGTTCACCACTAAGCAGGCTGTAAAAGAGGTTCAAAAACTGGAAATCAAAACTGGATTTGTGCAATGGCAGGAAAACTGCCAGTGATTGTTGTAAATAATTACTTTGCATTGGAAATCCAGAAGCAGCTGTTTGATGGACCATTTATAAAAAACCAAGGGGGTCAAAGTGGTTCATTAAAGGAATGCTCTCCCTTTTAATGCTGACCATAAAGGTATTTAGTAAGAGGTTTTCCAAAGTGCTGGTCAGTCTGGTTTCTTCCCTGGAAATAATCAGAGCATTTGCTTCTGAATACAGAAGGAATAATTGAGTCAGCACAGTGGCATCCTGTAGCAATTTACCTTGAGAGCATCCTTCCTCTCCTGATCTTAGAAATCAGTGGGACCCCAGACTGTGAGGCAGCTCTGAACACAGGACCAACAGCTCTCCAGCTGCTTTGCCTGTGTTAAGATGTCTCCCCAAGGATGGTAGTTCTGTATCAAAGACTGGTCTTACTGTGATGAATCTTAGAACTAAATTCTGTCTGTGAATGTGCATAACTGAGTGGCACTACCTACACTGAAAGCCAGATGCATCCCTTTCTAAATTAAGATCTCTTCAAAAATCGTGTACTAAGATCACTGAAGAAGTTTGTTCTCAAAAGTGTCCCTTTTATCACTATGTTTTAGCAAACAGTAATGCTAACACCTAATTTACATTTGAAATGGCTCTGTTTCTGCTGTGCCCTCATTTTGCCATGACAGACCAGTGTGTGCAGATCTGTGCCCATAAGAGCTTGGAGGAGGTGAGGAGAGGGGCACTGTACAGCCTTTAGCTTAAAAGCTGGATGAAATAAATCTTTGCTTTACTTGCCAAGCAAACACAGGCAGGTGTGTGCCATGGAACCAGTGATGCTGTTCCTGCTTTTAACAGATCAAGAGATTCCAGACCAAATGTGGCCTCTGCACATGACGACAGCTTTCCCTTGATATTTGCTATCAGTTGAACACTAACTGAGCTGGGGTCCCCAGAACATCCTTGAAATTGTGGCACAAGCAAGAATTGAAACGCTTCTAATTTCAAGAGCAACCAAACTAAAAATGCTCGAGGTTACTGCCAGCATAAATTGATAATCAGGAATGGGGATGTGCAGGCATATTCATGCATTTTTCAGTGTGGAATGAAGATGACCCAAGTAAACCAAGCATAATTCATGTTCTTAATGTCTGGCCAGGACCTGTGCCTGCCCTTTGTCCCAGCTGCTGCAAGTCCCCATTGTGACTGATTGGGATAACATTTTCATAGGCATTGCAGCTGCAAATGGAGAAAATGCTTAAAAACTGCTTAAAGCTCCAGGAAGTCCTCTGGGATAGGCAGGGTCTCAGTCAATGTCACACTTGTTCTGTGTGCCTGTTCCAGAGTGGTGGGAGGGGTGAAGGGCTCTGCCTGTGCAGCCGCTCGTCTGCCAGGGTGAGCACGGCAGAGCCAGAGCCTCCCACAGCCACAGGCATGGCTCTGACAGCACCCAGCTCCCGTTTCATGGGTTATTTTTGGCAGCACTGCAAAGAGAAGTCAGTCCTGCCACTGGAACAGCAGGAAATGGGCAGCTGAGAGAATACCAGGGCAATGGGAGACCTCCATGCTTGCACCACTCTGAGCTTGGGGGAAGGCCCTGCTTGCTTGTTTTAAATCCCCCCCTCCCTTTTTTTTTTTTTTTTGTCCTCTTGGGGAGCAGTGGGGCTGAAATGAAGTTAATTCTCTTTTAATTTGCCTCTAGTAGAAAAGCCAAAATAACTTCATCCAGTGGAGCTATTCCAAAGTTGTATATCTAAATCTGAGTGGGGATGTCACAGAAATTATCCACGTGTGTAAAGCTTCCACATCTGGGAAAAAATTATTTGGCTTTCTTATAAACCACAAGCTTTTCAGTATCAAATTTGCAGTGGCTTCTCATCTTCCTCAGAGCTTTTTAGCCCTAACTACAAAAGAAATCAAGAAAGCCATAGGCTATCTGCATTTTGAAGAGATGATGGCAATGTCCTGGGAAGCAAAATGTCCCTGTTCTCTCCTGTTTTATCTTCATAATCTGCAGAAATCATGAGACGAAACCCATTAAATGAATCATGAAATGAAAATCTTGAAGCGCTGAGTAGCACTAACAGGGCAGAGCAGCACGCTAGCAGAATTAAGGATCAATATTTCCGGTCAGAGCTTTGCCTTCAGCTCTGGTGTTCTGACGCACATAGTTCCTCCAAAAGATTCTGAGGTCGGTGAAATGGAGCAGAGCACTGTGGTGGTGTTCACAGGGGTTCCAGGATGAGGGAAGAGACGAGAATGTTGACTCCATGTTACAGAAGGCTTGATTTATTATTTCATTATATATATATTAAAACTATACTAAAAGAATAGAAGAAAGGATTGCATCAGAAGGCTAGCTAAGAATAGAAAAAGAATGATAACAAAGGGTTGTGACTGACTAAGACAGTCTGAGACAGCTGGACTGTGATTGGCCATTAATTAGAAACAACCATATGAGACCAATCACAGATCCACTTGTTGCATTCCACAGCAGCAGATAACCATTGTTTACATTTTGTTCCTGAGACCTCTCAGCTTCTCAGGAGAAAAAATCCTAAGGAGAGGATTTTTCATAAAACATGTCTGTGACCGAGCACCACATTAATCCTCCTGTTTGAGGGATGAGCATTCCCTGGTGGGGAGGTGCCATGGGAGCAGCCATCAGAGGTAAGGTTGGACCTCCGGGGAGAGACCAGGCAGCGTTAAACCCGGTGGGCGTGGGTCACATCCTCACTTGTGTCCCTCTGGCTGTCCCTGCCCTCAGCAAATAGCCATCGCCCGGGAGGGGGACCTGCTGACCAAGGAGCGGCTGTGCTGCGGGCTCTCCATGTTCGAGGTGATCCTGACGCGCATCCGCAGTTACCTGCAGGACCCCATCTGGCGCGGGCCGCCCCCCACCAACGGCGTCATGCACGTGGACGAGTGCGTGGAGTTCCACCGGCTCTGGAGCGCCATGCAGTTCGTGTACTGCATCCCCGTGGGCACCAACGAGTTCACGGCAGAGTGAGTGTCCCCAGCCAGCCCCCCCGGTGCCCTCAGCTGCAGAGAGAGCCTCTGTGGAGGTAGAGGGGCAATGGAGGTGCTTGTGAAAGGATTTGGTTGTGCCCAGCTTTGTATTGGAACAGCTGGAGGAAAGAGCAAGGTGAAGGGACGTGCCTGAGGTGACAGGCAGGAGATGGGTAAATGGGCCAGCAGTCCATCTATGAGTACTGTGTCCTCACCCATCTTACCCCATGGTTCATCCTACACAGCCTGGCCTGGGTGTAATTCTGTATTCTCTGCTTCTGGGTTCATTTTCTCTAGGTGTATACTCAGGACTGAACCCCATTTCCCTAGGAATTCACCCAAGAAAGTTCCTGGTGCCATGGTACTTCTCTTGCCTAACTCTTGTCCTGTCATGTCTCCCCACCCATCACCCTGCTCCTCCCTCCAGGCAGTGCTTTGGAGATGGTCTGAACTGGGCAGGTTGCTCCATCATTGTTCTCCTTGGACAGCAGCGGCGCTTTGACCTCTTCGACTTCTGCTACCACCTGCTGAAGGTGCAGAGGCAGGATGGGAAAGATGAAATCATAAAAAACGTGGTAAGTTGAAGGGTGAGGTCCCAAAGGACTCAAGCCAGCACACTTCTTTCTGTTTTCTATCCTGCTTTGTCCAAACTCATCAATTACAACAAAGCCTGGTGTTAATCTTATTCCTACTGGCTGCCCTTGCTGTAAGGTTTCCATCTGCAGTCTCAGCAGAGAGGCCAAGGTTTTAATTGGCTTGAAAATCAAATATTTTTTCTCCCAAAGCTTTTCCCTTCTTCCTGGGGTTGGGAAACTGGTCCTGAGGAGCTGGTATTTCCAGCAACCATCCTGTGATCTCGCTGGCTTTATCAATAAGCAGCTGGGAGCCTAGACTTTGGAGTGGTTAACTGGGGACCACTCAGTGATCCTGTTAATGCTCTGTCTTGAGTCATCAAACCCAATAATGAAGCGAGTCACCGGGTCCCTGCGAGGTGCTAAGTGGAACAGGAACATGTGTTAGAGCTGCTTTGCCTTAGCAGAGCTTTCCAGCAGCAGGGCACAGGTGCTGCTACTTCCTAGCTGGTCAGATGACATAAGACCCTTCATGTGCTGTTTCTCTCCCTCACCATCCCTCCAGCCCTTGAAGAAGATGGCCGACAGGATCAGGAAGTATCAGATCCTGAACAACGAGATCTTTGCCATCCTGAACAAGTACATGAAGTCGGTGGAAACAGACAGTTCCACGGTGGAGCACGTGCGCTGCTTCCAGCCCCCCATCCACCAGTCGCTGGCCACCACCTGCTAGTGTGGACATGGACCCTGCACGGGTTGGGAAGGGAGCAGGGACTGAACCCAAACCAGCTGGGAGGGGTCAACTTGATGGTGTGAGGCCTGACAAGGGAGTGAGGCTGGGTCTGCCTCGCCACATGAGGACACACCTTCCCCTCGCCCCGCTGGAGTGCATGTTCCTCTGTACCATCCCTGTGATCGGTTTTACTCGTAGCTTTCAGACTTGAGGGGGGTGGGGGTGGGTGGGCAAAATGTGCTTTTCTTCCATGAAGTGGTCCAGTTTTCCCTGTGATTCACCCAGTGCACACATCTCTCTGAAGCCATACTGCAGCCTCAGGTGGGAGAGCTCCACGCTCCCACGGCACCGGGAACCCACTCCCACTGCAGAAACAGTGGGACAAATCAACACCCCCGTGACATGTGCCACCAGCCAAGGAGCAGGAGGGGCTGAAGACAAGTCCCTGATCCACTCTTGGAGGGGAAGGAGGGATGAAGGCAGGATGTCACCCATGGCAGTGCCCTGAGGATCAAGTGCTGGGTGCAGAGGAGCCCCGCCAGGCTGGTCGTGGATTGATGCCTCACCCAGCTTTGTGCTCTCTGCTGTGTCCTTGGCCTTTCCAGCAGTTGTTTTCATGAGCTTTGGCATGTGGGCTTGAGGATAGCAATGAGGCAGTCACCAAATAACTCCTCAGCACTTCAGAGAGGGAAACAGAAAAGAGCCTGGCTTTTTCCATGCTATGGGACGTCCACTTATTTTAATGCAGAGGTTCTCCCCTGAAGACACATCTTCCGTGTGTCTGGTTTATCTTCCAATAAACCAGATTTCCTGTGGACTATAGAAGAGGCTGCATTCATGTGAATGTGCTCTCAAACATATTAATTTGGGTGGAAGTAATCACTGGTGCTGACAGGATGCAGGTGTAGTTACCTTGAACATACAGGATCTATGTTCTTCAGCCAAGGGTGAGAGCCAGGGTGTGTAATGTGTGTGTTCTGGGATGCTATTTTCCCTTGGTGTAGACAAATTCCTAGTGGCACAGCAAACAAATACCTTTCTCCTGAGAATGGTGACTACCAGCAGGGCTTAGGAAATTTCCCATCGCTCAGAAATTATGTGATTGTTTAGAAAAGAAAAAATATAGGATAAGATTTAAAAAAAACACCCAGAATTTTCCAGGTTCAGAGATGTTCAGAGAGAACACTGGAGTCTGTTGCCTTTTCCCACTCAGCTAATCTAAGATCCCTGGATATTGAGAACAGATTCAGGTGGAACTTCAAGGAGGATTTTGTAACTCCTGGTCTAACCTGCTTCTAACCCTCAGCAGTGTCATTGGAGTGATCCAAAAGCCTGTGCTTGATGTGAAAGGAGATCAAACCATGTGCTCCAAGAGAAAATTATGCCAGCCTCACAACTGGCAGTGTTTCCTCAGCTCTAGCCTGGCCACAGCAAAAATTGCTGTATCCAGAGGTGATAATACATATTTGTTCCATGCATTTCATCATGCCTTGTAAACTGCATGCTGTTACAGATATTAAAAAGGCAGAGCCTGGGCATTCATTCTCTCAGAGGGAGCATATAATTAATTAGTAGAAATATCTGAGCTGGAGTTTATGTCTTCAGAAACAACAGCCAGCAAACTACTGCTGGCAAGAGGAGATCCTGGTGTGTGGCATGAGTTTGTGCTCCCAGACTCTCATCACCTACTCCCTTGATAATCAATAATCAATACCCCACACATGACAAGTGCTGGGCATTTTGGGCATTTTCACACCTTGTGTTTCCTTTTATTACTGAGACAGACCTTTTCAGCTGCAGGGAGGAAATTGTGCAGCACAGTAACCTGAAAGTAAAATGAAATCTCAGGAAGTCTGGCTGAAATCTTGGAGTGGCAGGGAAAGAGCCAGCCCAGCAAGGTGAGTTCTTTGCTCTGTGTGGTGAGGAAGAGCAGCAGAAGAGCATCTAGGGCTTGCTCTCTACTTACTCTTCCACTAAGGATGTCAGTTCTGACATTCCATCATGATCCAACACTTCTACACTACTGGAGTGAGGGAATCTAGAGTTACATATTTTTAAAAGGAAGAGAAGAATCAAGCACTTTATTTTTTGTGGAAAACAAGATGCAAGGAAGATAGATCCAACCGAGATCCTATTTTTCCTGACCTAAATACCAAGTGCTTGTTATTTTGGTATGAAAGTCTTGCTGAAAAGTTGGCACAAGTCCCTGTCTGGCTTTCAGAGCCACCTCTAGGCACAGCACAAATGAAGTGTCCTATTACATCTGACAAGCTATGGAATGCTGGAGGCTTCTTGGAAACCAGCATCAACAAGAAGTTGCTACAAAAGAATGAACTGTACCAAATGGCCCAGTCTCAGCTACCTAGACAAAAATGGGATATAGTAAGGTGAATTTAAATCCCTCTTTTCATCAGTTTAGGTCTGGAGTGAGTCATGAGATATTTCACCTAATAATCTGTAAATCTGTTTGCATTCTTTTCCTGTAGTTTTGCCAAAATTCCCTGCAACCCTGCAAAACACAGTTGCACTGGAAAGTTGTTGTACAGGTACTTGAAAGAACAGGTAGTTGAAATCTATTTGTTGCCCTCAGATTTGCTAGCAAAAATGTAAAATCCCTCCAAATCCCAAGGGATTAAATGTTTCGAGCAAAATGTCAAAGTGCATGAACAAAATGTGAAGTGTTTTGACTGTAGAGTGTATGCAGATCTTTTGCCTTGTTGCTCAAGTAGTATGAGATATCAGCTAATAATAATCACAGTCTTAATTTCTGAGATTTGATGTTACTGTCCTTTGATTATCTCAAGGATTAAGATACTCCTTAGCTTCAGTTTTCTCACCCTCTTTGTCTGTATATGAGAAAGGTCCAGGCTTAGGTCTTTAAACAACTCCATGAAAATGGATTTTTTTTCCTCCCGTGCTTTTTTAAATGTCATAATTGTTAATGGAAATAGGGAGCAAATTTGTCAGAGTTAGGGCTAAATAGTAACAGATTGCCAGGGGGTCAGGGATATTCCTCACACTTGCAGACTTTCTGCCAAGTTTGGGAGTCTTCCTTGCAGTTGTGCTTCAGTCCTGTAGTTTTCAGTCTTTTATAATCTGCAGACTTCTAATGTTGTTTTCTTAGGGAAATGTTGACCCCTGTCTGAATCCTCCCAAGTCCACTGACAATGGACTTGCTTTTTATTACCTATATTTTCCTGCTTTTGCTAAAGTAACCTACAAACTGCCCAGCACTCACCAGCCACCACTTGGGATGTCTACTCCAAAGTCAAGCTGTTGGCTCCATACAGGAATTACAGGGAGGAGAAGGGATGGCCTGTGTCAGGAATGAAGTCAGAGTGGGTTATTTTAATGTTGCCTCTGGCTTTGCCATTATAAAATGGGACTGTTGGCAGTGCACGCAATTTTCTGGGATGATGCTACACTTGACTTGCAATGCTACAATAGAAAGGGGAAGCAAACTAGATGAAATTCAGCACTTCAGTGGTTTTCCTTTTAAATTCTGACAGCACTTAGTAGCACTGAACATTAGTCCTTTTCCTCCTGCATTACTCCAGTCCAGTAGGTTCATGTGTATTGGAGAACAAAAGAGAAAAGAATCAAAGTTGTAAAAAACCAAGAAAATATTCTCAAAAACTGTTGTCAAATGTACCATATTTGTATGAAAAGCTGCTTGAGTTATTTTGTACAATGAATTTTATTTATGGTGAGGTATATTTACGCTTGTGATCTGATACAGTGTTAAATTTTTGATCCATATTTGCTATGCAGCTGAAGATGATATTTTTGTTTTGTATTTTTATTTTTTGCTGTTGTTCTAAAATTCAGCCAACAGAAGCTTCCATCTCCATTAGAAGTGCTTCTGCAAGAATAAAGCATCTGATACCTGGTGATATGTCCCGTAACACAGCAACCAACAATGTGTACAACAAATGTGGGATGACTTTTGTGATGAAGAGAAATAAAAATTGGGCTCATTCATGAAATGGGCAGAATTTACCTTATGGTGTTATCATCGTTGTGATAACTGTTATTTGGGAGAGCTTTCAGTTGTACCTTGCACAAAAGAAAAGCCAATTTGATAAAAATGTTAAGCTTTTGTAAAAACCAAAGGAAAAAATATGAGGCTTTGTGGCCAACACCAAAATGGACATGTTTTCCTATAAAAAAGTTAATGATTTTTGAGAAGAACTTCTTTGCACAACACATTTTTAATTTTAAAACTTGTTCTAGGATAAAAGGGTCAGGGAAGGGAAAATCATAATCATTTTTAACAGATTTTGACAGGCTCTATCCAAAGCTAAACTGAGGAGCTAATTTCCTCTCATTACTGCAGCCTTGTCAACTCTACAGGGGCCTTTTTTTATTCCAGGAGATTCTCCTTGCTGTTATTTTCCCAAATATCCATTTGAAACCATTCTTAGTTTTGTGTTGAAAGCACCCAAGGAGCAGCCATGGTTGTTGACTGCAGAAGAGAAGTGGGAACCAAGGGGAAAAGGTCTGGGAGCTGAGGAATGAGGGAGAAACAACTGACATGGGTCTATGGGAGTTGGACTCCTGTGCTCATCAGCCCCAGCCCAAACTAACTGGTGTTCCCTTTCACAGCTTCTTCCCAAGGTTTCCTCGTGGGAACAGCTTGCTAGCTTGAGAGGGACAGAAATGCAATGATTCTTCACACAGAATTGGAGGTGAACTTTACACCACAACCAGGCAGCTCTGTTGATCTTTCCAATGTGCTCTGAGGCTGTGCTGCAGCTCTCTGGGTGATACCCTGCTGGGCAGGACTGTTTGATTGCTCAAAGTTGCCCAATATTTACTGATTTCAACATGGTTCTGCTACAGGGAATGGCAGAGGAGAGCAGGACTTTATTCCTGCATCAGTCACTGATACTGGGCAGGTTGGTTGGGTTTTATCCTTTCTCCCATCGAGATTTCTCTATTTTTTTCTCTTTTTTTTTAATTTTTAACTAATTTTAGCTGCTGCGTCATGGACACCCCAGTTCTCACCCAGCCCTATGAAGTGCTGAGAGCTCACATGGTCTCACTGGAGCCAGAAGCAATTCCTGCTTTGAGTATCAGGGTCCAAGGCTCTGAATTTTGAACAACCAGCCCTAAGGGAGCAGTATCAAAGATACAGGTCCCTATCTTTCTTCTTCCTAATGCTCCTAAATATGTTTACATCTCCAGATAAAAGTGTGCTTCCTCAATGGAGAGAACAAGTCATTAATGACTGTTTTATTCTTTCAATAGTTGAACAAAATTACCCTTTCTGTGACCCCCTCTGCAAGTCAGGAGTGCCTTTCACATGCAGCTTTGCTTGATTTAGAGTTCTGATGCAAACGCCTCCAGATAAGAAGTCTGCAAACAAACGATCTGCTGATTACGTGTCACTTCACCCACCGCTGTCCATCACCAGCCCACCACTCCTGCTCTGCCAACATGTGGCTTTGTGGGGCCACAGTGACCTGGATAAAGTATTTAGCAACCCTGGGAGAAAGGAGCTGGGATGTATTTTATGGCCCCATGACCCTGGATCACTCAGCTCCGACCCACAGGTGCGTGCACTGGCATGGGGAGGGCAGAACTGCAAGGGTTGGAGCCCACCCTGGCTGTGGCAGGCTTGGGAACTGGCTCTGTGGGTGCTGTCTAAACTCTGGTGGCACCAAATGACAGCCTCAGCCACTGCAGACAGGGTTACCTTGAGACAGGCTGAATTAAAAGTTGTCTGCTCATCAAAGTTCAATCTCTCAAACTTTGGGCATCCTTTCATGTAGTGCTGCAATCATCCAACACCAGGCAATTCCCTTAACCCCTACCTTATCAAATCATTGCCAGAAGAAGGGTTCACCCTCTCTTTGAAGCAGCAAACAGCTGCTTGGATCTCTAAAATGATACAAAGCCAGAGCAGAATATTACAAAGCTGTTCAGAAACTTTCCACAGAAACCATGCCTAGCAGACATCCAAGGGCAAAAGTTTCCATCACCTGTTAGCAGGATACTTCCACCATTATTTTTAACAGAGGACAGTTGGCACTCAGTAGTTTTCCATCACTTTTTCCAGAACAGAAGAGATGAGCACACAAGAGCAGAGGAAAGAGCAGCCTTTTGATGTTGCTGGAGAGGTTATTTGCATGCAAAGCTGCCTTGTTCTGCCCCCCAGATTCCAGTCAAGGTTTTGGCCTGGAAACCAGAATTTCAGGAGGAACTGCATTGCTAAAAGATGAGCTGCTATGGAAGACTCCCTGATTTCTGATGAGTTATTTTTAAGGCAGCATCTGATGTGAGTATCAACCCGTGAGGTCATAGCTTGGAGCTAAATTCCCTTAATTACAGCCTTCCCATTAAAATTAGGATATGAAGCAATAAAAGAGGCATTGGCTGCATCCCTGCTTTATTGTTATCAGTCTCAACTTGCCCTTGACTAAGCACAGAAGGCTCCATGCCAAGCCTACCTGGCTCTTTACTCCCATATTGCTGTACACAGCCTTGCTAAATCCTTCAAATGCAACTCCTGTGACTTGGTGATTTCATAGCCTGCACCCCCCGCAGTCCCTGTGCCAGGAAGAAGGAAATACGTGACACACTTGGATCCATGGCTGATTTCAAAATCTGACTGCAGCTTCTCCCCCCTCAGTGATGGCACCCAGGCACGCTCCCTCCCCAGTGTCTGATAGAGCCAGCTCACACTGCAGTGTCCCCTCCTTTTGGGGACATTTTGCTCATCATGTCTCTCTTCCCAGAACTTAGAATGGCTTCTCTTGGAGGTCTCACCCCATGTCAAATCTGGCAGAAGTGGCCCACAGGCTCAAATTTATCTTTGGGGATGAAAAGGAATACATAAACATACATGCATGTGGTCACATCAGCCTTTTTCCTTTAGGAAATCAAGCTGACAGGACAAGGTAAAGATGTGGCCCAAAGTGCCTTTTTTTTTTTTTTTTTGCCTGCACCATGCTGTGGCAGTAATGCATGAAGCTGCACCATGACCAAAAGGATTATTTCAACCACAGATCCCTTCCATAAAAATTTGCTGCCTCCTTCACACCCCTTTGTGCACAGTGAGCACAGATGTCAACAACACTCATTGAAAAAGCTTGGAAATGATTTTGGACACAGTTTAACTGCCAATAACCACACCACAATTAGCCTCCCTGGCTACGAGCAAGATCTCAGGGTGTTGGAAAAGGTCCAGCAAAGAGGAAAGCCCCAAGCACCAGAGTGAACAGGCAGAGCAAGAGCAGCCTGTGAGGGGACAGGGGACATGAACTCCCCCAGCCAGCAAACACAGCAAATACTTGTCCCACTTCACCATCACACTGGTTTTCTACCCAGCCCTGTATTCACCCGTTGCATGAATAGCTCCTAACCAGCATCAGCCAGTAAATTTACACAAGAGAGGCCAAATCCCACCATCATTATCCTGCCCAGGGTCTTGTCCCTTTTGGTTGCATAATAAATAACAGCAGCAGAAGTTGCTCCAGGAACACTGATAAATTGGCACAAGTTTCATTTCCTACTTCAAAACCTGCTGCCATATGATTTGGATTGATTATCAAGTGCCCTGTCATAAAGGGGAGGACGTGGGATTTGACTGGCACAGTCTCTCCCAGCCAGTGACCCACAGGACTGTGATGGATGAACAGACTTGATTAAAACCAAATGACTCACAAAGCACTTGAGCATTACATTTCTCTTTGCTGGAGAAAACAGTTGTTCAGAGATAGGATCAGGCACTGAATGAAGGCGTCATGAGGTATTAGCAATGCTGCAGCCTGATGGTCTTAGGGCAATTCCTGTAGTAACAGGCAATTTATTTTATGGAGGGGGGGAAAAAAGCAAATTTTCAGACATGTTCAATTCCTGCAAATCTTGTATCTTTATATTGCCTTATGACAGGGACCCTTTCTACCTATAAATGTGGGCTTGCTGAAGCAAAGCTCTTGTTTCACTATTGGTTTTATTTACCTCTGTTGACCTACAGCAGAGCCGGGCAACGAAAGGACTTTTCTATCAGCAATAGGTTTCTGTGTACACACTGCCACTGAGCACAAATGCAGGAAGGGAGGTCGGCAGAGGAGGATGGGGATGAAGGCAGAAAAAGAGAGGTCGGCAGAGGAGGATGGGGATGAAGGCAAAACTGGTGTTCCACACACTCTGGAACATTCACACACCAGAATCAGCAAGGGAGGCTTTGGCTGCCTGGGAGGGGGAGTTGATGGAGATTCCTCTTCTCCAGTCTGAACAAACCAAGTGACCTCAGTAGCTCTTCACATGGCTTCTCCTCCAGACCCTTCACAATCTCCGTGGCCCTCCTTTGGATGTTCCCTAACAACTCTGTATCCTTCATATGTTGTTCAGCCCAAAAGGCTGAAAAATACCTCAAAGCTCGAGTCCCACCATTAACCTGACATTGCCATCCACATTTCTCTCGTTTACCTTGAATTTCTATTTCCACCACGCCTGTGTTCAGCCCCCGGCTTTGCACACCCCCTGAGCACACCTGGGCTCACACACCTCCGAGCCACCTCCTGCTGCCCCGGCGCCTTCTCCAGTCCCTGCAACGAGGAAAACACCTTCCAGCGGAGAAACCCAGCGGCAGCAGCCGCGTCCCGGCTCTGTGCCAAAGGACAGAGCCCCCCGGAGATGCCACCGCACCGACCGGGCATGCGGGGACGGGGATGGGGACGAGGGCTGGGAGGAACTGAGAGGATGGGGACAAGGGCTGGGAGGAACTGGGAGGATGGGGACAAGGGCTGGGAGGATGGGGACAAGGGCTGGGAGGAACTGGGAGGATGGGGACAAGGGCTGGGGATGCGGGGCTGGCCCAGGGGACCGTGCAAGGTTCCCCAGGGCACTGCGAGCGCTCCCAGCCCAGCGAGGGGCCGGGCCGGGCCGGGCCGGGCCGTGCCGGGGGAGGAGCGGGGCGGGCTCAGGTGAGCCCGGCCCTGCCCTCGGCCCGGGATGCGCTGAGCGGCCGGAGAGCGAAGGCAATGGAGCCGCTGGAGACGAACAGCAGCTGCAGCAACGGTGGGTGCAGCCCCGGGGCAGCGGGACTGGCCCGGCTCGGCCCCGCTCGGAGCGCCGGGACCGGGCCGGGACAGGACCGGGCTGGGTCCGGGGCTGGGTCCGGGTTCGGGGCAGCGCGGCCGCTCCGGCTCCGAGCCTGCCGCACCCTCGACCTCATCCCCTGGCTTTGGGGCTATCCTCTGTCACTGCTCTCACTGCTCTGCTTTGGGTGGTTCTTTCCTCTCTTTCTTCTCTTTCTTCTCTTTTTTTTTTTTTTTTTTTTTTTTTGAGGTCTGTATAGGAATGGGGAAACTCGAGCAGCCGGCAGCACGCTCTGCCAGCTCGAGAGTGCACGGAGAAGGCAGGAGTTCGGGTTTTTTTCCCTTAAGGATTACTTAATCCAGTCGGTAATCACCTCATCCCGCTGCCTTATGCTTGTACCTTGTGGAGATTTTCACCCAGCCGAGGAGGCAAGTTCCCCCCTTATTCCCCAGGAAATATTTCCACAATCAAAAATGTTTTTCCTAATAGGAAAAAAAAGTATTATTAGGGAACCCTTGGAAACTCATCTAGGAAGTCACTGCTATTTTTTCCTTTAGAAAAACGTTTATAGCCAGTTCAGATCCAAAACCTCAGCTGTGTGTGCTGGGGCCAGGGATTGCAGCTACTTAAGATCTAAGCCAGGCTCCTGGTTCAGAAAAAATGTGGGGCCCATGCCCAGGCTCCTGACACTACTGGGAGCAGTTTAGCCATTCCACACTCCTGCCTGCAGAGACACAAACACTTGCTTTATAATTCCTATGTGAGTTCAGGGGGGAAAAAAAGGAAGTCTTTTACTACAAAGAGACTTTTGTACTCCACCTGGCTGCTCTGTTCCTCATGGTCACAGTCACACCATCTTTACTACACTTGGAGTAAAGATTGCGATAGAAAGATGTGCTGGGTGTGGTAGGAGTGTCAGAGGAGGAAGAAACTCAGCAATTTCCCACCCCCACACACCAACACACCTTGGCCAGAGCCACAGGGCTGCAGTGCTTTTGGTGTTAACAGCAGAACACTGCCTGCTCTCAGTCCCTCCACACTGGCAGGACTGGGTTTGCTTTAGGAGCTCTCAGGGAACCTGCAAATAGGTAGAATAAAACCATTGAACAGTAGAGGAAATGAATTGTCCAAGATGAATCTGATGTTGTCATATGACACAGCTCAGCACACAGAGTAGGAACAGATGCCCAGTTACAGTGTTGGCATCACTCCACATTAAACCCAAAGTTACAACTGCAGATGAGCTGGTAGGTGTGAGGATTAGTTGGCTGGAAAGCACCAAAGCCTTTGGATCAGCAAGGTTAAGTGTTGATAAGGCCTAGTTTAACTCCATAACATTGGAATTATGGTGGAGAGACTCTGGCTTATATATTTGGAAATTCAAATTATTTTTAGAGGTCCTTGTAGACTCATTCACTGTCAAAGAGATGCTTGAACTGCAGGCCATAAATCTGTCAGACAACACCCTGCTCTTTTATTTCCACGTGTGAGTAAAGAGGTGTCCTGAGCTCTGGGTGTTGTTAGGGTGACAGCATGGGTGGCTGTGCAGGGGGACACCTGGATGAGCCTAGGGGAGGAGGGACACTGTTGATAGTCATGTTTTGCTGTTCTCTCTCCAAGGGTCTCTGATCACCCTTTCGTGCCTTTCCCACCGGGTCGTGTGCCAAGTGATCAGCAGTGCTGTCCCAGCTGACTCAATCCTGGACAATGGGACTTCAGACAGCTCCTGGATAACTCGGCTGGAAAACAACTATGGATTCTACATTGGCCTGGGCTTGGCTGTCTTCTCCAGCTTCCTCATCGGCAGCAGCGTCATCCTCAAGAAAAAGGGACTGCTAAGGCTGGTGGAGAAGGGAGGCACCAGGGCAGGTAAGGCTTTCATGGGGGCAGGAGGGGGAAGGACCACTTGTTCCTAGGAATACACACACAGTCCAAATTTCAGCACTCCTGAGGCAAGGGGACACCTCTGGGTACAGTCAGTCTTCCATCAGCAATGTAAATAGGAGCTTTTGTGGATGCATCTTTGTGTGAGAGAGCCAGACAGCAGTGCTATGTGGGAGCTGAGGAGCTAATTTACAGGCCTGGCATTGAAAGGGGTTAATTTACAGTCTCTGTATTGGAAAGGAGCTAATTTACAGAGCCCTGCACTGGAGGAGCTCAGCTAAGAGCAGTGTTTTCCTGCCTGGCACCACAACTAGCAAGGGAGGGTCCTGTGAGATCAGAGGTGTCCCCACAGCAGAGCAGTGCGCGCCCATCGCTCAGGCCAGGAGCAAGCAGAGTGCTCAAGGCTCTTTGAAAAGGGTCCCTTTGCAAAAGCTGCAGCTCACAGCCCTGCCCCAGCCCAGAGCAGCACAGCCCTGACCCCACTCCTGCTCTCAGTGAAGCACCAGGCAGCTTTGGCACCAGGTCACCGAGCTGAGGAGCTCCAGGTGCTTGGATTGCAAGAGAGTGTGAATGCAGGACAGACAGGCTCTGTGGGAGCTCTGTGGTTGCAGAAGGGATCCTTTGGAGCTCTGTTGCACAACAACCTGCAGATAACTTTCCTCTAGCACCAGGCTCTCAGGGCGAGGCGTGTGTTTATGTGTACACACGTATATATATGGATGGGCAGTGGTGGAGCAGCACTGCCTAGAGCAGAATTGCACTGTGGAATTGGACACATCCCATCAGCATTGCAAACATGCTCCAGCAGCAGGGTAAGTCCTACCTGGCAGCTGACCTACTTGCATAACTGCAAAACAGAGCAATGGTAATTAAAATACTGCTGCTTCCCAGTTCTGGCCTAGGAAACAGTTCTTAAATAATCTTTCAGATTAAATAAATATCACCATCCCCATTGTACTTTGTGCCCATATGGGGACACAGAGGCATGGAATGATGAAGTGACTGTCCAGAGACAGCCAGCAAAGCTGCCAACAGCAGCTGAGCCACCAGGCAGTCTCAGGTCCATCTCCATCCTCTGTCACTGGGCTGAACACACAGCTGCTGAACACAGATGGGTTTGCTTTTTGACATTATACTTGCACAATGAAATATCAGTCTGCTTCAACTGTAGATGTCTCTCTCCTCCTTCCCTCCATGAGCTCTTCCCACAGCAGAGCCAAGTGAGTAAAACAAGAGCAAACTCCTCCCTGTTTTGTAGAATGTTTAACATTCTGAAAGGAATTAGAGATTAATGACAGAAAATTGCAGCTGACAGAAAGAGTTCTTGAGAAAAACCCTGATCAAGCAAAAAGACCCTAAAACAAATAAACCAGCAATTTCTGAGGAATACCAGAGCATAACATTTGAACTTCAGCATTTATGGAGTGGTTGAGGAGCCAGAAGAGGCTGAACTCTAGCAAAAGATTTTTCCCTGTGTCCTGAAATCTTCCTGTTCAACTCTTCACTGCCCCTTGTCCCATCTTGCCCTGTAATCTCTCAGTCCCAGGGTGTCACCCCTGCCATGTGAGCACATCACTTTTCTCCAAGGCAGGTTAAACCCTGCTGGTACTGACAGCTCCAGTTGGGTCAGATTTATCAAAAACATGGGCTCTCCCTGACCCAGCAAAATCAGGGGTCACCATGTCAGCAGGCTCAAACTCCTTGTGTCCAACAGCCTGTGGGTGAGGACCAGAATTGGATTAGCTCCAATTAGCTCCAGTCTATTCTTCCCTGTTCTTTGTCACACTCTTCCCCTTGCAATTTATCCCTCTCCAAAGGGACATTCTCATCTCTTGCTCTGAAGAATGTGGCTTTTAACTCCTGCATGTGCTTTTCTTCCCCAGGAGATGGAGGCCATGGCTACCTAAAGGACTGGCTCTGGTGGGCTGGCTTGTTAACCAGTAAGTAGGAGCTGTTTCCCTGGGTTTGCAGCTTTTCCAGGGTCTGTCCCTGTGAAGGAGGTGTGGAACAAACTGAGCATGGTGCTTAAAGCCTGTTTTCTGCCGAGTTCCCCCATCCTCAGCAGAGGCTCCTCAGGGAGAGGAGAGGCAGTGATCCCTGCAGGATCTCCCTTTCCATCCTCCTGCAGGACTGGCAGGACCTGCTAGCTCAGTTTTACCTGATCAAAAGCATGAAAAGCCAAGTTTTAATAGGGCAGCTGGCAGGTCTGCCTGTGTACCAGGCACAGGGCAAACAGCCTCCCCTGAGTGCCTGGGGGAGCAGGGCACTGCAGTTTCCTGCTGCAGCGCAGGGAGATAACAAAGGAGTGTTGTTAGTAGCACCTCCTTCCTTGAAAAAACTTGTTTTCCCTTAAAATCTTTATTTCCTGCTTGTATCTCCTAAAATTGGACTCAAAGCTTTACAGTATCTCCTAAAATGGGACTCGAAGCTGCACAGAGAGAAGCAGATTTTAGAAGAGGCCGTTTCAGAGCCCTCTTTTCTGCCTCTCACCCTGGCAGCTGCAGCTCAAGGTGTCCCCACCTGGCTCTGCCCTCACTGCTCAGGGACAGGGACAGCCCAGCCAGAGGGGCACCACAGCCCCAGGACAGGGTGTGGAGCTGTCCTTTGCCACCCCTGCCTCGTCACCCCCACACAGCCTGGCTGGCCTGGGGGCTCCTGAGCCCCGACCTGGCCAAGCCCTGGCACCCCCAGCCCTTCCCATGGAGGGGTTCCCTTCTCCAGGGTCCTCCTTTAATTTGAAATAGATTTTCACCCACTGTCTGCCCCTGTTTAGCAGCAGGATGAAACCCCCAGCATAAAACCCAAGTGGCATCTTGCTGGTTTGCAAGCCCCCAAGGGGAAATGCAGAAAGTGCTCTGTAACTCACTGGTATTTATTTTTCTTGTGTTTGTTTAGTGGGTGGAGGGGAAGCTGCCAACTTTGCTGCCTATGCCTTTGCTCCTGCAACTATTGTCACACCTCTGGGGGCTCTGAGCGTGCTCATAAGGTGATTTTTGTGTCTGTAAATTGAAATTTGCCTTTTTTTTTTTTTTTCTTGTTTGCCTGTTTGACTTGTAAAAATAGACTTGAAGGGATACTAATATGATTTATTCTGCCCAAAGTAAAAAAAGTCTTAGTATTTTCTAAAAAACACTTTAACTGTTGTCCTTTTTGAGGGATCACTTGGGAGCCATTGAATTAAACAGCTTGCCCTTCTGGAAATGCTGGGTGTGTAGAGCAACTACATGCACTGCAGGTTAAATTATTGCAAATATCTGCATTACTTCATTCCTTATTCCAGCTCTTTAACCACTCAGGACTGGCGGGGTTTTAATGTTTGTTTGTTTTGTTTTGTTTTGTTTTTGCAATCAAGAGTACTAAAAATTTAAAGGGGTCAAAAATACCAGGCTTGTTTTCAAACTGCCTTTCACCTGCCTTTTATTTTATAATCTCTTAGAGTCCTCTCATGTTGCAGGGCTTTATATTTCTGGCCGTTCCCAAAAGGGCTGAAATCCTATTTCATTTCTTTACTTTTAAATAGGAGATTCCTACCAAAATACATTAAGCTACTTAAGGGTTTATAGAAAGACTGTATTGTGAAATTCATAAACAAACTGAGAGTTAGGACTGCTCTGGTGTCTTGCCCCAGATTTTTTTGGGCAACAGCTAGATATTTTTGTAGATGAATCTGTAGCCCCAAAACTTTTGGAGTTTCTGTTTCTCTTTCTAATAGTTCTGATGATTTAGTTAAAATTAACATAGCTTGTTTGTTGTTAGGTTCAGGTTTTTTCTCTCTTACACTGGCCCTTGAAGTAATTTTCTTGAGCACTAAAAGCTTCATAATGCTCAGCAGCTCCTGAATAATTCTGCCAACCCTGAAAAAATATTTCTGAGGACGTGCTAAAACATTCAGCATTTTTGCACCTTGCTGACACAAGAGCTGTGATCTACAGGTCACACCTGCACTCCTGCAGGTTCAGCTGTGATTGTGTATTAACCCACTGGAACCCAACTAATTTACACCAAAATTGTGTCCTTGTATCACATGGAAGCATTCTTAACTTTCCTAGAGTTGCTGCTCCTTCTTTAAAGGAGTGCAGAGCACCGGCTGATGTTTTTCTGTCCGGATGATGTTTTTCTGTCTGGATGATGTTTTTCTGTCTGGCTGATGTGTTTCTGTCCGGATGATGTGTTTCTGTTCCATGCAGTGCCATTCTGTCCTCATATTTGCTTGGAGAACGGCTCAACCTGCTGGGAAAGCTGGGCTGCCTGCTGAGCCTGGTGGGCAGCACTGTGATGGTCATACATGCCCCAGAGGATGAGGAGGTCACCACTCTGGAGGAAATGACTTCCAAGCTGAAGGAGCCGGGTACGCAGCCAGCCGTGCTTTCCCTCTTGGGGCCAGGCACTGCAAAGCTCTCCCCATGCCCACTGCTGGAGTTTTGAGTTCTTCTCTCCCTCCTGCAGGTTTCCTGGCTTATGCTGCAATCCTCCTGGCTCTCTGCTTCCTCCTGATCTTCTGCCTCGCCCCCCGTTATGGCCAGAGCAACATCCTCATCTACCTCGCCATCTGCTCCGTTATCGGTGCCTTCTCCGTGTCCTCCGTCAAGGGCTTGGGAATTGCCATCAAGGGCTTCTTTGCTGGCCAGCCTGTGCTGCAGAACCCACTGACCTGGATCCTGGTCATCACTCTGGTGGCATCCATCACCACGCAGATCAACTACCTCAACAAGTCTCTGGACATTTTCAACACCTCTTTGGTGTTCCCCATCTACTACGTGCTGTTCACCACCATCGTCATCACCACTTCCATCATCCTCTTTAAGGAGTGGGTCACCATGACTGTGGTTGACATCATTGGGACAGTCTGTGGCTTCCTCACCATCATTCTGGGGGTGTTTTTACTCCATGCTTTCAAAGACATGGATGTCAGTTTTGGGAATTTACCCCAAGTCCTTCAGAACGAACAGCCAGCACCGGTCACCAGAGATGACAAGAACATCCTGATAGAGGTGGACAACTCCAGCATTGCTCCAGAGGACAAACCCAAAGTATTCATGCTCTACACTTAGGGGGTTACATGCAGGGGACTGGAGGTTGGGTGGGTGATCTCAATATTCCAGGTGCCAGGGAAAAATTTCAAAAAGGAAAAGCAGAAAATAAAGCAAACGGTGTCTTTTCCAAAGTCAAATCTTTCTCCAGGCTTTTGGACAGGATCTCTGTCATGATGTGGCAGCAAGGAGTGTGTTTAATCCTCTCTGGGCCCTAATACATGCAGCCACTGGAAACAAAAATCCTCTAGAAATATGATAGTGCTGTAACAAAGCTCCTCTCTGAGGCCCCTTCCCTCTCTTATTCTTGGCAGGGCTGATGTTTACCCTTCACTCCTTCCCCCGGGTGGCCATTGATGTCTTTGTTTCCAGGCCTTGATGGATCATTGATTAGTGCTTTTTGTCTTTTTTTTGTTTCCTTTCTAGACACTTGCATGAACTCTAAAATAGACACCGGCGTCTGGAGAGGAGGTGAGAGACAAGGACTGATCAGTGCTACTCAGACCCTGCTCATCCATGTTTAATCACTTGCTCTGCAAATAAGGGGACAAGAATATTGGTGAATATGGGCAAAACATGGTGAATTTTGCAAAAGCTGCTCACTCAGGCTCAGGGCAGGACTCAAGCCATGAAGTGTTTTCACAGAGAGATCTTTTTCAGCTTTTGGTTTTTTGTGAGGTGCAGGAGTTTCCCTGAAGCAGTGTTAATTATTTTCATGGGAGTCTTGTTTGAGTTTTTTGGGGTTTTTTTGCCAGAGCAGCTCTGGTGGCCAGGCCTTGGTGAAGTTGCTGGGACTGACCCAGACCCCAGCTGAAGAAGGGCAATCCCTGCTCAGGCTGGGGAGCTCTGGCAGAGTAAACCCCATGTCAAGAGAAGCTCTACCACTGACTCCAAGACTTCTTGTGACAATTTTTTTCAGTCTGAAAGACCAAGTGGCTGTAAATATAAAGTATTTTTTTTCCTCAGGAAATATCTTGAGCTTGGAAAACCCCCCAAATTCTTTGAGCCCCATAAGGTGTCCTGCTGTTCTCTGAGATGCTCACCTGATTATACCTGGGTGTGAGCATCATTGAGTAAATATATTGTGGGGCTTTGGGAGAGAGGACAATGCAATCTCCTATTTTAATAACATTTCAGTGCTATCTTTTTGGAATGTGGAAAGGGAAATAAAGGGTTTTTTCGAAATAAAAAAAAAAGTTGCAGGTGGATCTGAAATTTTTTCATTACTTCATCTTACGAGTGTAGCCCTAAAGGATAAAGAGGCTGAGGGACAGCTGAGAACAACAGAAAGAGCATCTGGAGCAGAGTAAAACTGCAGCGACCTCCTTTGGTGGCAGAAAATAATCCAAGTCACTCACTCCAGCTTTGGTTTTGGCATCCTAATCAGTGTGATGCTTGGTGCATTTTATTTTAGAAAATGGCTGTAAATGGGACTCATCTTTCTTCACTCCAGAAATGCATTTCATTAAAGCAATCCTGCCATCCCTGGAGAAATGCCATGTAGAAAATGAAGATTTGAACTGAGGTAATGAAATAATAGACAGTGAAAGAGTATTTGTTAATGACAACAAACAATTTTTATTAAAACTAGGCAAAAGGCACAATGAATTGCATTCTTCAAGTATTTGCATAGATGCATAGAGAGCATTGTTGTAAACCATTAACATGTGGACATAGGAGAAAGTGAGATGCATTTGTTATAAGTTCTCCCAAGTAATATTATCTTTCAAAAAATCAGGTTTTACCATCTTTAACTCCTCCTGCAGTTCCCCTGGTCTCAATCACTTAACTTGCACACATGAAAATTTAAAAGGACTTACCTAAAACTACCTTTTGGAGATTTTTGTGATATTCCAGCAATAAAGTTTTCTATTAGAGTTTGGGCAAGTCCAGTTGTTCTCTGAGCATTGTGTGTCCGAGGGCATTTTTTGAAACCTTGAACCCATGCTCACATGAAATTCAGTGAAAATAATTTTAGTGATTTTTAGTGGCCATTTGCTGAAGATCAGGAGCAGAAGTGCTGCTGCCCTCAGTGAGGGCTCAGCTATGAGATCAAGTTCTTGTGGTTGAATCAACAATTACAGTGTTTGTACAGTCCTGCTGCACTGTGAGCAGCCAAACCTGCCATTACATACCAAGAAACAAGTTTGGGGGTTGTTTGAATACACATTTTTGAATGTAATATACCCCAGCTATTGAAAAAGACAAAGATTAGAGAGCTATTGTCTTTTACTTGCCCTGCCTTATTTCAGAAGGAAGTTTTTTAGATTGGTTTGTTTTCCAGGCACATAGAAGGTAAGAAAAAGTCTAAAACTGATAAGATAAGGAATAATCTGTGAGAATTTCAAGACACACCATGTGAACTGTTTCCTTGTGGAGAAAGAGGTAGTAAAGTTGTGAAAACTAATGTGACTTAAGTCATCCTACAGATACTTATAACTACTACTACATATAACTACAAATTTAATGAGTTCTTGGGGTTTATCTGGGATTTCTTTAATGAGTAGATCTTAGGGAAAGAGAACCAGCAAACAAGACTCGTTTTCTTTATGCCAATAATACAGTTTCTCACATGTGGAGCAGCAGTCATGCTCTTTGAGGATTTGTCCATATAAATCAGACACAAGAGGACTGTTGTAACTGCAGCTCCAGATTTCCCTGTGTTCTCCTAGGAAATAATTTCAAGGAAAAAAAAAAATCTGGCATAACAGAAGGTCTTATTTTAAAATCCTGAGGAAAAAAAAAATCCAAAAAACACATACAAAAGCCAAACTATTATGAGAAGAAAAAACTAAATTCATAAGGGAGGGTCCTCAGGGTCAGAACCATCAGCTGCTTAAAGTGCACACAGACAGCTCTCTCCATCCATGGCCTGCAGAAAAAGCCTGGAGTAAGAGAGCTGCCCTACAAAAGCACCATGTGTTGTGTTAATAGTTCAGCTGTCTCACCACCTGGGCATTTCCAGGCAGGTTTATCAGTGGTCTGGGGAGCACACAGCCCATGCTGAGTTACACACATCCCCTGCTGCCGGTACCGTGCGCTGCAGAGGGGCCTCAGCACTGCCTTCTGCTGAGCCTCCTGCTGGCCTTCTGCTCTGCATCTGGGCCAGAGCTGCCCTCTCGTACCTTCAGGGTGTCCTAATGACCTGGGTTGGAGCTCGTGGGCTGTGCTGGGGCTGCTTTTGGGATTTACAGCACCGAGGCAAGACAAGAGAATGGTTGCAATGTTCCTGCTGAGGAGGGTTACATGGGGAAAATAACGAAATAAAAAATAATCCCCTCTGCTAAAGCTGACCACAATCCACAGTGGCCCCACAAATTGTAGTTCCATGGTTGGCTCCCCGTTGGGGCCCCACTTGCCACCCCCTGTAAACAGAGAATAAACTGAAGAATGTTATCACCAGCTGCTCTCCCCAGAGGCAGTGGGTTCTGTATAGCACCAATATGCTGCTGCAGCTGCCTGGGGGGGCTGAGGAAGCCAACAGGGCTCACATGAAAGCCCATCAAGGCCAGCACCTGCACTCACAGCTTGTTCTCCCTGGTAATACTTAAATAACTGATTAAAAACACGTGGAAACCCCCATCACCCCCCATCCCTGCAGTGGATATTGCACAACAATATTTAAATACCGTACAAACGAGTCATCCCTACATGGAAAAGGCAGAGAGGGCCCAGCTGAGCCTGGCGTGTACCTGGGGCACCCCTGCCATGCCTGGTGAGTCACAGAGGGAGCAGGGCTGGGGCAGGAGGAGGGGAACTGAGGCACTGTCCTTGGCAGTGAAGGTGTGAGAGTGGTTTTGGTGATGAAGGCCAGGAACAGGCTGCCTCAGGAATGCCCACGGGAGCCTGGCTGTCCCACGTGCAAGCTGTTCACTGCTCCAGCTCTCCAGGCACCAACACCCTGGGTGAGATGGAAAAAGGGGGAAAGAAGAGGAGTGAGCACTGATGGGAGAACAAGCACCATCCTTGCCCTCTGCTGGAGCTGATGTTAGTCTGTCTGCACAGCCTGTCTGCATCCACAGCCCAGTGCATCACAGGGGAACTCTCCCACAAGCAGGTTCCTGCAGTTTTCTCCATTTCCCACAGCTGGCTTCCAGTATATTGCAGGCTGGAGACACATAACTGTGCTGTGTGGAGTGGAGATGTTTTGTGTTTGCAGAGCACTGAGCTCAGTGCCTAGAAGTCCCTTATTAAGTCCTGTATTCAGGATATTTTTGTGCAACACTCCCTGCAGGGAATGCATCTCCTTAGCCACAGCTAGAGAGGCTGGAAAGAATTTTTGTTTTTTACTGGAATCTTCAAGTCTTGTGTGAATCTTCATGTTTTGCTGCTCTTCACTAACACTTCTGGGTCCCACAGCCCTTGACCCCATTGCTCTGCCCCACTCACACAAATGCCTTGCCTGAGGAAGTGTTCAGGGCTGGGAAGGACTAAATTCACTGTTTTGCTCAACTTCTTATATTCTTAATATGAAACAGGTAAAAACAGAGACCCCTGCAATAAAGGTGACCAACCCGCAGCCTCTCAGCATCCACCCCCCTGTGCTGTGCACTAGGGTGTTCTGCAGGCTGATATTCCCTTCAGAGTGTTTTTATTCCCCAGGGGTGAATTCCAGGTGGTGCTTCCCACCACCCCTCCCAGTGCCTACCTCTGCCACAGGCTGGAGGTGCCCAGGGGCTCTGCTGTGCCCAGGGGGCAGTGGGACAGCAGGGCTGCTCCCCTGCCAGCCTCTGGACCTGGATGGGATGGGATTCGCTGGCAGAGCTCTCTGGGGTGGCCGGGGCCTTGAAATATCCTGCAGAGGAAAAAATAGTTTTGAATTTAAACCTTAAGTTTTGGAAGTAATAGGTAACCTGTGTTCCAGAGCCTTTTTAATTAGTCACTTTAACTGATGCACTTCATGGCTGGAAGCAAGTTCCACACACATACACTCAGTGTTTGTTTGCCTATACAATGCCTGTAAACACTATATATGTGCATGTTCTTGTGCCCATACAAACACACACGGACCCACAAGCAGT